GCACGCCCCTCAGAAAAGCTTGGCTGGCAGACTGGCTGGAAGGCGCCGGCCTCGCTGCCCTTACCGCTCAAGGCCGCGCTGTACTTCAGCAAGCTTCCCGCGTGCGTATGGCCCGCCACTGGTGCCCTATCATGCGCGCTCTGCAGCAAGCTTTCCCGGAGCGCTGTGGCTTGTGCGCCTGTCCCTTTCAGCTCAGCACGCCTTGGGACACGCTTGCAGCGGAAATACACGAGCACTTCATTTCTACTGGGGATGGTGCGTCTTTTCTGACCACCTCCCCGGAAGCAGCGTCTGTTGCGGCTTTTTTGAACGCTTCCCCAAGAGCAGCCTCTGGCAGTGGTGCGGCTTTTCTGCCCGCCGCTGCCGGGGAAGGTGCGTCTTTTCTGACCGCCTCCCCGAAAGCAGCCACGACTCGCAGACCTGCGTGGGCTGACGTGCAGGACGACTCTGCCCACGCCGCGGCTGCGCCCAGCGCCAAGAAAAAGAAAAGGGTGTCCTTCGCGCCAGAGGTGGCCCAATCTGCCGCGGCCGACGTGGAGGACACCGCGCTGTGCTTGGTGCTGCCTTGCGATGCCCCACTAGGCGTGCTCTTTCAGCCAGGTGCGCAGACGCTGTCTCGGCGCGGGGTGGACTGCTTGCTTGACGTTACTTCGGACGCGACCTTGCTTTCGTTCCGGGTCATACAGAGCGCGGAGGACGCTCAAGGCTTGATTGCCTACGCTAGCGAGTTGCTGGCATCTAGTCGGGAGTTGCAGCAAGAGCTTGCAGCGCTGCAGCGTATGCTTGTTGCCGCGGAGGTTTTTCCGGAGTTGCCTCTTGGTGGTATGCCGGCCATGGCGCTCTTCCAGTGTCTGGTCTTCCTTTACATGTGGTCGGTGCTCACCTTGAATTATTCATTTTTGCTGTCCAGCACCTTCTTAAGACTGGTGGCTTTGCCGCTGCAGGAGGCGAAAAATTTTGATATCTTGGCCGTGGTGCACAAGTACTGCTACGTCACGTGGCTCCACCGGACGGCGCGTCCGAGCTGCTGGCAAGGCAACGCTCTCCGCTTATTGCTGCCAGACACTGCCGACTGGGAGGCTTGGTGGGCGGCGCAGCAGGACGTGGCGCACGAAATTGATGAGACTGCCTTCTCGGAAGAGTACGCGCTTATGTGCAGGGATCCTTTGATCCCCGAGGGCTACCGGGCAGACTTGAAGCAGGTGCGGCGCCATGTGGCTGCTTCCGATCTCGGCTTGCTGCCGGAGCTTCCGCCGCGGCAGTCCTTTATGGAGCACGATGTTTACTTGGAGGCAAGCGGCGCTTTGCCCTTGCCGAGAGCCTTGCCGGCCATTCGATGCTCGGCCGGGGCGATGGAGGTGAACTGGGGCGACAACACTGGTGAGCCCCTAAACACTTCGCGGGACAATGTGATCTCCGAGACGGATGTCTGCTTGCAAGTCCCGTTGCCGGTGCCTGCAGATATGACTTTGGGGCACGTCCTGCTTTCAAGGGACTGGCGAGCCTCTTTCGAGCAATCCAATCTCGGCATGCCTTGGTGGATGTCAGACGCAGGCGGCTTTTCTGCCCCTGCTGCTGGCCACGCAGGCGGCTTTTCTGCCCCTGTCTCAGCCCTTGGAGCGCAAATCCACTTGCAAGCTTTGGGAGCTGAAATCATGGCCACGCTGAGGCCCGACAGTGTGATGCATCCACACTTGCGAGCACACGTGGAGCTCATGCTGGGCATGTGTGCTTCCGTGCACTTGGCGCGCCAGGAGGCTTGGGATGTTGCCTTGTATGACTTTCTTTTAGGCTGCGGCATCAGAGCGCAGCGCACGCGTCCTGGCGATGCCGATGCCGGCTGGGTGGCGCATAACTACCGCAAGAGGCACCACGCTGCCCGCTCTGTGGTGCGACCCGTTTGCTGCACCATGTGGGGTGAAAAGTATCGCCCCATTGGATACTTAAACGATGCGGGGGACATCGAGCACTACTTGGTGCACGACACATGCCCTCTTGGAAGATGTCGCAGGCACAAGCAGCTTATGGGCTTTGGCACCGTGTGCCCACACTGGCATGGCTTCAACAAAAAACACGGCATCATGGCCACTCTGAACGCGCAGCGATACTTGAGGTACACGGAGATCGGAAGCAAAGGGGCTGACCCGCGCGCGCGAGACCAGCGGGCCAGCCAGTATCTTCGCACGCTTTTGCAGGAGTTAGGCTTTGTGGCCCGTGCGGACGAAAGAGCAGCAGACGGCGATGACCGCGTGATGCTCATAGGCCTTCCCCGCTGGCTCCCTGAGTTTCACAGCAACGAAGGCCAAGACATACCCGGCTTGGTTGCCTTTACTCCGCTGCACGCCAAAAAACACTTCGAGCAAAATGACATTGACGAGTGTCTCCAGCTTCGCACCGCGGCGCAAGAGGTGCACGATGACCTTGAACGCTTGACAAGACAGCGCTGAATGCGCTTGAGATGCGCCAGGGTGCGTCTTTTCTGACCGCCCGGCGCTTGCCAGGCCGTGTGCCTTGCAGTGTGCCTTGCCTGGCAGCATGCGTCTTTTCTGACCGTGCTGCCTTGAACAGAGACAAAGTGAATCTGCCCGCATAAAAAGGAAAAAGAGCCGGTGGGACAACGGGCGGGCGGATGGTAACAAAGGGTAAATGATGGAGGCTTAAGACTTGTCAAACATTTGCGGTCAGGCAGGCTCCCTGTCAGCCAGGTTTTCTTTCCAGTTTTTGTCCGAGCGGTGGAATAGTTGCCTGTGAAGACATGACCTGTTGATTTCTTTTGTGACCGTTTGGCCATGTTCGTCACAAACAAAACATGATTGGTTTTCAATTTGGCCCCAAACATGTTTGCCCTGGTTGTTCAAGCCTCCTATAGTGGTTCTTTTTTAGAAACTTCCGCCACCGCCTTGCGCGGTACTACTTGTATATAGAAATCAAAAGGGACGTTAGACAGACATCCTTGGCAATGCAAAGGATGCGATGATGATAGTTATCCAGGATGCAGAGGATGCCTCGCCCCCGCCGGGCCAGGTGCTGCTGAGAGAGGTGCTTACCGACTGAGCTACGGGGCGTTTGGGGTGACAAGGCAGCCAGCCGAGCTTGTCATTAGAGACACAAGTGATGATGATGATGACGATGATGCAGCCCAAAACAAAGTCTCCCACACCTCTCCCACACCTCAAATTAAAAAATATTAATTTGAGGTGCTTTCCCTGACAAAAAGCTCGCTTGAAAAGAGACACAAGGATGCCACTGAACAATTGGGCAATGGATGACTGTCGTGATAACGATCATCGTAGAAACGATGACATTGCGGAATCGGTGACTTGTGACGCTGAAACGACGACGCGTGCCGCAGACACAATCACCTCTGCCACACAAACGATGACATACCTCGCAGAACCGAGGAAACCGTCATCTGTCACAGAAACGCTGACATTTTTGTCAGGGAAAGCACCTCAAATTAATATTTTTAATTTGAGGTGTGGGAGTGGCATCCTTGTCTCTTTTTCCTGGTGAGTCTTTTGTCAGGGGGAGCACCTCAAATTAAAAAAATAATTTGAGGTGTGGAAGACTTTGTTTTGGGCTGCATCATCGTCATCATCATCATCATCCTTCTCATCATCATACGGCCGGCTGAGTCACAATCAAGACCAGGTTAAAACATGCAAGTAAAAATCAAAAGGGCAGCTGCGCCCATTGATTGGGGCTGTTTCCCGAACTTCCCTTTCCTAGGCCCAACAAGCCAGCCGATTCGTGCGCCGACAGCTACCCACGAAGGGGTCGGCGGCACAGGGCGGCAGCCCTTAAATACATATCATGTTGAATGATGGATTCATTGTAATTCAACAGACTTGTAAATGCAGGAAATGTCAAAACACGTACTTAAAAAAAATAACAATGATAATGAAAGCCTGACACATACGTCTAATTAATCTACGTCTTGACTTTGATTGTTTATTTATTGTAGTGTGTTCTTTAAAATGAACATAGTTGAACAATATCTACCTTGCATTGTGTCTACTCTATGTGTGTCTTGTTTATCTCTTACTGTTAACCATCTTCAGATAATGGACATTCATATGCTTTCATACTTCTTGCATTTACAAGTCTCTTGAATTACAATGAGAAATCCTACGGCTATTTATCGTTCTAGCCTGTCATCATTTATTAAGCTTCTGTTATCTATGCATCGTGTTATCTCTTTTTGGTCTATGCAAAATTGGCTGCTTTCCAGCTCTAGATGCCAAGCCCACACATCACCTATCTTCACTTCTCACTTTCTGGTATATATTTCGTCTTTTTATTTATATATATAGATTGCTTTCTCATTTCCTTCGTCTCTTGACCTCCTCTTTGCATTCAAGGTCAGACTCATCCAAAAGATTAGACCACCATTAATAGAAGAGAAGAAAACACACAAAATTTGTTTGCAAGCATGTACTAGCTTATTGATCTGTGCAATGCTTTTGAGGAAGGCACGGGCTCTCTTCTGAGTACTCTCTGTCCTTCTCTCCTCTCTACTGTCTCTCCCTATCTCCTTTCCCTGAACTAGTCTCAACAAATGAAAAGATGGACATGGAAAGGAGAGAGGGAAGGGATGGAGAGGCGGTTTATATCTTTGGTCTTGGGACCTTTCCTTCGCTCACTTCGCTCTCTCACCTACTAATCTCACGCCATCTCTTCTTGCTGCTCAACCTTTCGTTTTCACTTGCTGGCGGCATTACCTAGAGTTATAGAGGTGGAGAGATGTGGAAGAGGTTAATACTCATCCTCTCATTCACCTCTATACCTATCATTGACCTCTCGACCTATTGTTCTCTCTTGGTATCTCTCCATCTTTTATCTTCTCTTTCTCTGTTTCTATTGCTCAGTTACAAACTCCAAGATCTACAAATGTAAAGATCTGGACATGTTACTTGGTGTCTTCTCTATGTCCTTTGTATCCGTAAGCATCCTGACGTTCAATCCCCAATCCATTCCTTTCTCTCTTGTCATCGTATATCCTATCTCCTAGAGTCAGAGCTGCACGGACAAAAAAAAAAAGGCTTAGGGTAATGCCCTTCACATCCTGTCTTTGCCGTGATTGATGAGGAAAGGGTGACATCAGCGCACAAGCTCCCTTGCCGTGCGGCGGTGTTGAGCTGTCCACCAGGAGCTGACGTTGACGTGGTGCTGATGGAGCCCAGGTTGCCCAGTTGGATGCAGCCACGGTCCTGGCTCGAATGTCTCTGATGGTCATAGATGGCATCGCAAGGCTACGCTCCGAACAAAGCACCGGCCGTAAACTCGGCGAAACCGCCCATTGCCATCGGTTTCGGCTGAGGGCTCCTGGCAGGTAGCGATGTTCACCGGAATGGTCACCTCTTCGCCATTCACCATCATTGTGTTGGTAGGGCATCTGAGCGCGGCACTTTGGAAACAGCAATCCTGTGATACGTCAAGGGAGGGCCCAACCACAGGCCTGTGGTGACTCGGCGACTGCGAGCCCAGCCAGTCCGACTTAGCCAGCGCATGTATCAAAACCAGCTTGCCATATCAAGGCCCCGAGTTTCAGTGCCTCGATCCTGAACGAATTTCCCTAACGACAGTCCGGCAGCATCTTCATCTCCGAGTTAGCCCACAAATCACCATTGATGAGATTGTGGGCTTGGATGATGCCACTTACAAGAATCATTCACGTCAGCTTGTCGTTAAGAGGATGCGGCATGATAGGAGCATGTTCGGTGCTAATTGTCCAGTTGCAGCACAAAGTCCGCATCCTTCTTTCAGATATCACGGCACAGCAAAGGACAATGGGTTATGCCAAAATGACAAAATTACCATCTTCAAAGCCTCCAGTTGAACTCAAAACAGGTATCCAGCCTGACAATTTCTGGAGGTTCACAACTCATCAGGCACCTCACCAACACCCGAGCCAAGCTGCTTCTGGTTGCAGTACTCCGTAGCCTCCACGCGGCAGGTGTACCTCTCCTGGGGCGTGTTGTAGGCTTTGCAGGTGCCTCAGACATTGGCATAGCCCATCTCACCCCATCTCCGGAATAAATTTGGCGTGCTGATTGCAAAGTCAGTGGAAGAGCTGAATGTCGGCCTGCTTTATCAACATGACCCGTCGCGCCCACATACACATCGGCTACTAGGAAAGACAACACCCGCAATCGAGGCTTGGTGAACAGCAGCAGCTTTAGAGCGTTACGATATGATGCCTCGCAAAGATCCAAGCAGCTGTTGTAGCACGGAGAATCAGCTGTGGCCAAGGTCAAAGGGCAGAAGGTCTCCTGGTCCTGCGAATGACTCGTGCCAGAACTAAACCAACTACAGGTATCAGGGTTAGGGAGCAAATAGACTGACTGGTGCAAGTGTTTACAGAAAACTGATCAGATGTGGGGAAGGGTGGCTTCTATGTTGTGATCCAAAACATGGTCTTGGCGTCTTGAATAGCGGGCGCTGCGTCTCAAATGTTTGGCATGCAAGCAGGCTAGATCCTGAGCCGTAGTGTTCTTCATGCAAATGATGGCTTCTCACTGAGTGGCCATGGTGACAAACACCTGCGATTTGCCAAGCGACATGCTCTTCAGGTGTGGGGCTTAAACCTATCGCAGCTTCGCGGAGGGTTTGCTCTATCTCTACATGGGGGAGGGGTTCTCAAATTTCGGGGCCCCTTTTTGGATGGTTAAAGGGCAACCAGCAGGAAACCACCTATCTGGAGGGGTCCGCAATTTTGGAGAACCGCCCACGACTCGCTTTGCGAATCACTCCTATTCATTGCAGAAAATTGCCCCACATTCTTTGGCTGCGTAAGGATGGCACACCATGCTGCGGGAAGTAACTTGCCACGGGAAAAAAAAAAAAAAAGCGCTCCGGAATTTCGCCTCCCAGTTGTTGAGTGCGAGCATGATCTGGTTGGAGTCCAGGTTTTGGATGACGTAATCATCACCCCTGAACCTTGACGCATTGGACTCAAGGCCGGCCTATCTGCCCAAGAGAATGCCACACGCAAATAACCCGGTGACTGCGGACAGCTGGCAGAACCGCGCAACACGTCGTTCTGGACAAAGAGATGCGCACAACAACTGCGGCTGAGCAATACCAATAAGTATCAATGATCTTCAAGTTTCTTGTCACGCTTCACAATTGACAGCACATTGCTTCGCAACCCGCTGTGCGTAAATGCATTCATGTCGTAATGTTATGCCTTGAGGCTTGACCCTTGCCATTGGTGCCACTAAGTCATTTTGGTCGGCATACGCCTTGCTTTGAGAATAGCCAAGGCTAAGGTGTTCATTCCTGAAAACCAACACCACATTTCGTGGTGGCAATCAGCACCAGTTCATCGGAATGCCTCTGCCAAGCTAGCCCAGCATGCCTAAGTTTCTGATATCATTCCAAAGGGCACATCCAAGACCGAAGATCGGCCGCAGAAAGGGCCAAAGGCATAGCACTTGCGGCCATTGAAGACCACACTGCCGTTCACCTCAAGTGAGGTGGACATCGGGCGTGAGTGCTCCAAGCTTCTGCCAAGCTGACCAAGTCCCAGCAATAACCCAATACCCCATCTTCATCAATCATTTCGTTCCTGTGAAGCGATGAATTGCTGTCACCTTCAGGCAAACACTAGCAATACGGAACTTGGCCATGTTTGGACGGTCGGACAATGGCGTTGCTTGCACATAGGCCCACTCAAGTAAATATCGACATTGCCTTTGCCTTTGAGTTGACTCGTCGCCTTGCAGACCTTTGCATGATACATGGGCTCCGAGAAACATATGGCCATAGGTCAAAATCCCGTACCTCCAGTGAACATCCCAACACCCACTAAAATAGACTAAAAGGGGTGGTGCACCTCCTCCAAAATGGTACCATTGGTTTTGACCCACAGCCATATGGCACACCCTTGCTTCCAAGAGGTGCCCGACCATCGGGTGCCAGCCCACAAGCTCAGGACTCTAAGGGTTGATTCCCCATTCTTTCCCACCATCGTTCTTTTCGAAAACCGGCCGTTTCCCTGGCTTTGCGGAGGTTTTCTAGAAAGAAGGATCCCTGGAAGGAATGGGGAAGGTAGCACTAGAACTCTAGGTAAGGACAACCCAGGTCTCAAAAGCTGCTCTGCGTTCCAACTGGTCGACATTCAAATGTGTAAAATCCATGGAGCAGGTCTCTCGGTTTGACTCCCTGCCCGTTTTTCTGCCAAGGCACGCTGGAAGGATCACCGCTGAAACCTCGCCGCTTTGCCAATGTTTGAGGAACTGGGATACATGAAATCCACGCGGCGGCAGTTTCAATTGCTATCTCCGAACGAGCTGGGCGCAAAAACGTCCCAAGGTCCTGGTTCCGCGTAGTTGCCGACTTGTTTTACATTGACAGCATCCCAGACGAGCCGAGAAGCTCCAGGATCCAGAGTAGATGGTCCATGGCCGGTTGTCGCCCTCCGATCGCTTGTGATCCTTATCCAGGTCCGCCACCAAGGAGGTGCCGTCGATGGTGATGTTCATGATCTGCCTCACTCCGTGCTGTGCGGCTCTGAGTCGCTTTGGGCCAGAAAGACGTGGGACTTTCCGTCTTTCAACTGGGTACCCCGCATGGTGACAAAGGTCTCAGACTAACGTCCTGTTGCTGGTCGTCAAGAGAAAGCCAAAAGCTGGGCAACGCTTTTAAAGCGGAACCGATTGCTTCGTCGCTCCCAAAGGCCATATTCAGTGGGGCATGCATTCTCAGGCCGCCCCACTTGGCCATGTGGCCACTAAGATGCTGAATGTCCTATCGTGCCCCGGTTGTTGGGCCCAAACCCGCTAGCCCACCTAGAGATATCTTATGCCATTGCTTTTGCTTTTCTGCCGTACACTTTCTTGGTGCTCAGGACGAAATGAGATGAGGGAATGACCCCGAGATAAACCCATCCAACGCCAAAACCGTGACCTCAAGCCCAGTTTGACGACACTCACCACCTCTCTGAGGGAAGCCATCCACAACAACTACCGAGGCCCGAGCGCGTTCAGCTCGTGAAAGCGCTGGAGGTACTTCGGGTCCAGGATGTTGCCTCAGTTGCGTGACTTACCAAGGGCCGCAAGTCATGCTGTTTCCATTCCTCCCTGTTTCCATTTTCCTCATCTGTCATGTACATTGTACACTGTTCCCATTTTCCTCATCTGTCATGTATATTGGTCAACAACCCACCCCCACCCCCTCCCGCCGTGTGCCCACGCACACACATACACACAAACAAATACTTAGGGTGCCTCCATTCCACGCAGGTTTTGTCTGCGTCAGGTCCAGGCAAGGGGGAATGTTGCTTGTTGGAGCGGGGCATAGGCCGTTGTTCAGAGATTTGGTATTTCGGGTTTAGGGTTTCTTGCAGTCTACGGCCTTGAAGGCTGACAACGCGGTGTTCATCTGAAAGGGTTTTGGGTTGTAGGTTATTTGCTTTTTTTTAGGGGTGCTGCAGGGGTTTGAGGTTGTTGAGGGAGGGTGCGGGGTTGTCTGTGAAACGGGGCACCCTCGGACTTCCCAACCACAACTTTGAGGGGCACAAAGCCAGCTGAAATGGCTGCACTGGGCAAGTCACTGACTTCTTCAGGAAATGACTCGGCAACTGATCCTCGAGGGTAACTGGCCTTAAATCAAAATTGGACAACTGCAGCATCTATTGTATGGTCTCTGTCTGAATGACAGACTTGATCTGGTGCGACTGTTTCATGTCACTTCAGTTGAAGGGTGTGTGTGTGTTGATAAATTTATGTGTGCATTTAGGTGTTGCTTGTTGTTCCTCTTCTTTTCTGTTGCTATGTGTTCCGTTCACAGAGCAACTCTTCACCGTCATCCACAATATGGACATGTTGCAACCAGCCTGCGTGACACTGAACCACAACACGCACATGAATTTCAATGCAAGACCGAGGTCCGCACAGTCTGCCTCCGCCACATCAGCGCAGGTCGCCGAGAAGAAGTTGAAGCGAGCATTGCTTGGCCAGGTAGCCTTCACCTCGGCAAGTGCAACAAGCGAATGACAAAGGTGACGTCTAAAAAGTATGCATAATCCAGCGAATTCAGTCGTTGATCATTAGTAGCTGACGAGGCTTGCATATCTCCACTTTCCCGCTTCGTACGATTCGATTGTCCATACTGAACAGTGCTGGACTGAACAAGTTGCACTAGTGCCCTTTGCTCCTGCGAGCCTCGTAACATGACCGCAACGGAAAGCAAGCACATGCAAATGCCAACATCACGACCCATGTGGTTGATGTGCTGGCAATCATCAGAATCCAATGTCTCCTACATATCATGTAGATGTTTATCCATTTGCTGAGTGCCAAGAGAATAGTATGTGTGATGAGAGTAATTACATCCGCTCCTCAACATTCCTGGACACTCGCAAATTGTCAGCTTACAAGACAGCTTGCTTGCTGACAGCATCTGTCACAGCATCTGTGGATTTGATCACACCTGAACAGCGATACAACATCCAGAATGCAAGCAATCTGGAAACATTGATTTGGCGTGAGGAGTTTTTGGGGCACTCTGATGACAACATCCCTAACGCAAACCTGCTGCTGAGGCAACCCCAAACCTGACAATCTGCTCCACCCGCCCCCACTTGAAATCACTCGCTGCATGCTGCTACTGTATGCGACCGACATTTGCAGCACCCACCCAAGTATCATCCATCGTAATCTTCTCTTCCCCTGCCCATTTGCGGATACAGGAACATACTCGTCGTGCTCCAAGGCGAGGGAGCCTCCACAAGCTGTCGGCACACTAAATCTACGTCGCAGTCCCAAATTGCCCGTGTTCGCACGTGATTGAAACGACAAATACAAATTATGTTGCCCAAAGAAAAGGTACAGATTCAAAGTCTAAGCCATGGCCAACCGGCAACGATGAAACAGAGGCAACAAATGAATCAACGGATGAGGCCTTCTCAAACATGAGCGAGACCTGAATTTCATGGGAGGCCGCACGACCCTAGCACGTCCAAACCGGGGCTGGTGCGTTTATGGCTCATGAGTGCAAACCTTGAGACAGCCTGCTTCTGGATGCCCCTTGGGGAGCAGTGTCCCCACAAATCGCGAAACCATTGCGTTGCAGCCATTCTAAATTGGCAAAGTGGCTAAATATCATGCGCGGGGCCACCATGGTGCGGTCCGGGTGCCTCAACAGAGTTCAAGTAAAAGGAACTCAGCTCAGGTTGATCCTTTCCTGCGATTGTCTGACCGACGGCTTGCGTAGTGATCATTAGCTGCTGCGTGAGAGTGCAGTTTCTCTCTAAATTGATCTGGAATGCGTGCTGGAGTTGTCAAACTGGGTTGACATCTTACAGCATCCGCGTGTTGCAAATGGCTTTACCTAGATCCTCAAGGTTTCTGTCATCCTCTTTAAACAAAGGCAAGCAAATCCTTCAGCGTCCCTACAAGTCTGACTCTGAGTCGATCGATAGCCAGGGCCTGCAGGCACCCACTGCTTCTCCGGGCGTGTCTCATTTTCCAGAAAGGCGAAGCCGCCGCAGCAGGCGACGGTGAAAATGATGCTCCCGATCAAGCTCTTGACCTCAGTGATCGAACGTGCTCTTGGTCAAACATTAGCACGTAGCGGCGGGTCAACGTGAAATCAGGGTCGGTGGAAGCTCGACCTAGCACTCCAGGGCAATAACAGCTTGGTGTCTGCATGATTGGATCACTCCACAATCAGCGTAAAGGCCGTCCAGCAAAGGGAAGCCGTCCAGCAAAGGGCAGGCCGTTTCTTGCTGAAACTGCCCCTTTTGTGAGGTGAAACTGCTAATATGGCCAAGTTGTGTATAATTTCGCTGCTACCAAAATAATATCGCAGCTACTACCAGTGTTTTCATTGTTACTATAAAAACAAGGAAGAAGCACATGGTAACGCCGTGTTCTCCCGTGTTCTGCAACAGCCATTTCCTAATTCCCAACGTTGACTCTCTTGTGCCTTGCAACGTTACCGGAATCTACAAATATACTCTTATTTGTGTGACCATTGTGACCTTAAGTTCTTCCAGGCAGGTGTCCGAGCATGTCACTTAAATGTTGGTCATGCAAAGCATAAGGCATAAAGCAGCTATGAGACGCGAACGCATCTTGCAATACCAGGCAGCTCTCTGCAAAATTGCTGTCGCGGCGGTACACAGTTCCAATAACAGCCAAATGAATGAATGCTAGAAAGCGCAAAAACTTACAGTTGAGAATGGCTGCCTGCCGAGCTGCAGGATGGTTGCCCACTTTGCGGCCCACAGACTCGAAGAAGTGCTCCAAGCAGCCCTCGATTCCAAAACCTAAGCGAATGCAGTGACTGCACGCGGGGAGGGTTATGCAGCAGGCTCAAGTCAGCCTGTGCAATGTGGAGCCTGGGCGTAACCCCCAGCTCGCCAGCTTCCCTTCATGACGAACCTCGTGCGGGCTCCTTCCTCGTTTGCAAAATCCGCCCACTTGATCTTCAGAAGGACGCGTGAAGCCCGAGAGCATCACTTACCGAAGCAGTTTGGGCCTGGCTCTGCTCACCTCACCATCTTGTGCCCTGTCAGACCCCCGTGGACATTGTGCAGACGAGACACCCATGGCGTGAAATGGCAAGAGCTGCAAAAGCACTGGCAATCTCGACTGAAAACTCCGCGGCAGGAAATGTTGCAACACTGCCACTCCGCTCTGAGTAGCAACAGTTTTTTCTCTTTCTACCACAACAGCAAGCAAAGATCATCTCATACTCATTCACAGAAGTTACACATAAATCCAGAAAGTGTCAAAATACGTGCGTCAGCTCAGTCAGCACAAGGGCATGCACAGCTGTGCACCAATACATCCAGCTCGGTGCAAGAGCACAAAGTGCAATTCTGTTGGCCAACATCTTTGAATCCGTCTTGACACATGCAGCACTGACAACTCGTGCAGCTTGGAGTAGTGGACTTGCATCGCTTCAAGAAAACGCTCAATGTGAATTTGGGTGTCTCTCTTTCTTGGGGAGCCCCCTTTTGGCTGAGTTTTAACGGAAAGCCAGAAGGAACGCCCATGATATTGGGTGGTCCCCCTAAACAGAGACACCCATTGAGATCAATGGTTGCGTGACAACCATAAATGACAAAGCATCTGCACCACCCCGTGGCCGATGCGTGCGCCTATGCGCGTCGAATCAAGCTTCGCGTGGCCTCGCGGGGCTTGAATTGAGGTGAAGGGCACCAAATCACAGGTCTGTCACAGCCAAACAAACTTGATTCATGTCAAAAGGCCTGACAGCAGCCAAAAACACGCAATCTGCTCACTAAGAAGTAGTGGGTGTGACTTCAAGTGCGCGGAGCGTCCAGTGTGCACTCTGAGAATATGCAACCATATGCAACCCCAAATGCTTTGATATAGATAAAGCGCCTGTGAACCTGATGGACGTGATCCTGATCGCCTTGGTTCACAAAAGTGGATGTCGAGTCCAGGCCAAGGACGGTTTAGGTGCGGTGCCTCCCACTTTGTTGCTTCATAGCTTGAGCTGAGTAAGCAGGGGTACAAAATCAAACGACCCCTTCTTGCTAAAGGGGAGGCGCACGGGAAGCCTGGCAACAAATCATTGCTACACTGATAATTCAATCGGATGTTGCTGCGGATGCGTAATCACTATCATCATCCTGACTACCATCATCCTCGTGATCGTGATCATTGTCTTAGGTGATGACGGGCCGCCTTTCTCATTTTCTTCTATAGATTTCAATTGTGAAGTTTAGGCCTCGCTGGTGATGCTGGGAATCGCCGCCGGCATCATCATGATCATCATCATGATCATCATCATCATCATCATCATAATCATCATCATCATCATCATCATCATCACCATCATTAATTCATTCATTCATTCATTCATTCATTCATTCAGTCATTCATTCACTCACTCATTCATTCATTCATTCATTCATTCATTCATTCATTCATTCATTCATTCATTCATTCATTCATTTGGTGCATCATTTGATTCATCATTTGATTCATCAGTTGATTCATCATTTGATTCATCATTCATTCATTCATTCATTCATTCATTCATTCATTCATTCATTCATTCATTCATTCATTCATTCATTCATTCATTCATTCAGTCATTCAGTCATTCATGAATTCATTGCATTCATTGAGTCATTCAGTCATCATCATCATCTCCATCCCCATCTCCATCTCCATGACCATCATCATCATCTCCATGTCCATGACCATCATCGTCAGAATCATCATTGTCTTTCGTATATACACATATATGTATATTTAATGCGGCGTTAGGCGCACTGCTGGCCGCTCTTTTTCGAGCTGTATGTCCTTGTTTTATTCTGTAGCCTGGCTGGTGGTGCTGGGGATGCGAAGGGCATCATCAACACCCACAACAACACTATCTTCGCCCCGTCGTCTTCAAAATTCTCCTCAGGATCATAATCACCAACACCAGCATCATCGTCGCAGTCACCATCTTTTCTTTAGGGAATTCCATTGTTCCATTCGGCACTGTCGAAGAAAACCTTCTCTTTCCAGGTCCCAGCGAAACCAGCATACGCACACATACACACACTGCCTGTTGCCCAGGTATAACGACCACCAGTCGCTCCATTCTGGTAAGGTATCGTGAAGGCCTACCTATCTTCAAAGACTAGCGAGCCGGGCAACTCTGGAAACATTTGGAGTTGCTGAACAATGCTCATTCCAGAGAAACAAGTGTTGCAACGCCAGGGGTCGTATTGTTTCACCGTCAAGAGATGATGGCTGATAATCACTGCGTGGGAAGAGCGACTTTTGTGTCAGCACACCCCTCCCATTCCCGATTCCACGCCTCTGCTTCGGAATCCTCTGTGTGTGAGGATGCATCGCCAAGTGTGCAGCTGAGCCTCAGGTCCAAAGGTGGGGGAAATACGTGGGCCAAAGGGGCGCGCTGGACTTGCCTAGCTTAATTAACAAGCCAGCTTGGGACATGGATGGGCAAAGCCGTTCACTCACATCTGCCCAGCCAGCACTCGAGCTGTCATTCGGCCACAAACAATAAAATGTATATGTAAAAAACATCAACTATGCATGATTCTTTTGCTTTTACTCCATTTATTTACTTTTTGTTCGCCTCGACCACCGGGCCGCGAAGCGGTCAAATCCATCTTCAGATCATAGGATCTCCCTGTGGCCCAAAGCTGTCTGAAGCTTCCTTTGGGCTTCGCCTACTACGCCCCGCCCATTGCCGTTGGCCACAGGCTGGCCACGCCCCCCATCAGGCTTCGGGGCTCCAAGTTTCAAGCGCCAGCCACGCTGCGCAGCCCCGGCGCTAGTGCCCAATCCTGCACTCAATCCCTGTTTTGCGCTTGGACAGCTGCAGCTCTGGCGCTTGGGGTCACATGCCCTTCCGCCACCTCACGCCGCCCGCTGCTGCTTTCAGTTCTTGGGGCTTCACCTAGCCCCAGGCCCTTGCCTGGACTGCGGCTGTAGCCCTGGTCACAAGGCCACAGGCTGGCCACGCTCGCCGTCAGGCTTCGGGGCTCCAAGTTTCAAGCGCCGGCCACGCTGCGCAGTGCCGGCGCCAGTGCCCAATCCTGCACTCAATCCCTGTTTTGCGCCTAGACAGCTGCAGCTTTGGCGCTTGGGGTCACACACCCTTCCGCCACATCACCCGCTGCTACTTTCAGTTCTTGGGGCTTCACTTAGCCCCAGCCCCTTGCCCTTGGACTATGGCTGTAGGTGTGCGCAGCCAATTGGCCAGCATAACCCCCCCTTCTTTGTGCAAAGTCGAGGTGGGCAGTGTGGTGAGTGAAAGGAACAAGTCCCCTGGCGAAGTGCTGGCAGCCAACCCTACACGTAGCAAAGAACCTTGACTGTCGTCCGTTTCTATTTGCTGTAAGGCCCATCTAGTTGGCACTGCTGGAGACGTGCGAGACCCAAAAATTCAGATGTTGCTCAACATGACGTGACACGTAGCTCCTTAATCGGAAATGAAACAAATCTTGTGCAATTCCGAGTCATGTGGTTGCTCACAGCATGATTTGGGCGCCTTGTGCTTTGTGGGCTACATGAGCAAGTTAGAAGAGGCTCAGCGTTTCGCATTCAAACTACGAGGCGTCCAATGTCTTGTCGCCTGAAGCTGGAGCACATTGCCGAAGTGACATGCGGAGCTGAGGCAGCGTCGTCTGCGGGAAGTAGCCTCCGCGCATCGCACCATCCGTGGAGCCGTGCGTTTTCATGCAACGAGAACAGCCACGTTCAATGACCGATCTTCCAGCCATCTAGGCAAAGCATAAAGCGACAGCTTACAAAAAAGTAGCACCCAGGCCACGAAGGAAGGCTTGCCAGCCATTTCAACAGCGTCTGGGGACTCGACATACGGCACCCGCAGTGGTTCAATCAGGCAGTCACCTTTTAGGCCAAGTTTCAAACTTCAGGTTCGTGAGTGTTTGGTGCTCGGGGCATGTTTCTCCTGGACGAGATTTGTAGGACCCCTCCCCGGGCCGGAGGGTCGAACATCCAGTCGCCCGATTTCGCGGCGACGGCATCATTGTTTGCTTGTTTGCTGGCTGCACAATCACGACAGCTCCATTTGCACTTGCCAGCCGAAGATGGCAATGTCGAAATCGGATGACCAGGAAGTGCTTGGTCATTCTGGACTGGGTGCCCGGGCGACTTCCGCACGGCACCCGGCACCCAGCATCCTCCGGGTCGTCGCAAGATGCTGTTCTCTTGCGTGGACAAAGATGTGGAGCTTGCAGCTCACGCAAAGCAATATTGGCTGGCACTGTGCTGCTTCCGCCGCAGGGTCGATGACTGAGGCTGCCACCTCTTGCTTGTGGCCCACGGAAAAGTGTGGAAGCAATCTGTAAGCGTGACAGCTGAACTGCTGCAGGCAAGAAAATCTGGGGCACTTTTGTCAATCGGATGCAGAAGAAATGGCGCATTCCACAAGCTCACGCATGGCCCTGCACCAGACGCGCGCGCGCGTGCTCGGCGCGCGCGCGCGCGCGCGTGCAGCGTTGCTGCCAACTCCATTCAACCAAAGCTGGGCCCACCTCCAACGTGAAAGCCACCAAAAATGGCAGAAAAAAACACAAAACAATTCTCCAATGGATCCAGCCGAAAGACACGCGCTCCGCCTGCGCCCATGGCCACCAGCTTCTTCCGCAGCGCTGAGCTGGCGCTGCCCCGCCTAAGGTGCGGGCGGCTTTGGATGTGAGCACACCAATCACCTCCAAAGGAAGGAGTCTCACCTCAAACTGGCCCACGGCCAGGTTTCCCCACCAAAACTGGAAGAGGATCGACAAGTATGTCGAACCTGGCTTTCTTGGCGTCGTTTTGCATGGGAAACCAAGAGGAAAACCGTTGCGGCTTTTTGGGGGGTCCAAGCTTAACAGAGCCACGCCCATGAAAACCGTTGCGCCATGTTGGGGTACCCTAAAAAAAGGAACCGCCACATAGACCGTGTTGCTGTTTCCTTTGGTTTCCCTTAGCCGGCCAAACGTTAGCACCCTCGTGCCATGGCCCGAAGCCCTGGGGTTGTCCAATCGACCAGGTCTGCGGCAGCACAGCACCGGCCCGGCGCTCCGACCTCAGGCGCTGCTTCACCGCATCGGCCAGCTCCTGGATGTCGGGCTCCCAATACTTGGCTTAGAAGCCAACCAAAAGCATACCCCTTTTGGATCATTTTGGGTCCGAATCCCGGTTTTTGTGTGGTGTGTGTGTGTGCCACCCATGGGACCTCCCAGGAGAAACCTGAAGATCTGAAGTTGATCAGCTCAGGTTGCCTTTGCCTTGGGGTGTCAACCCATGGGAAATCAGGAGCAGTTGCACTTTGTGCAGTCTGGAAATGGCTAAAAACAATGCGACCACTTGCCACGACCCAAAGGAAGTCTTGGAACCTGCATGAGTCTGGCCGTTTTGAGCAGCTGTTTGCCAAAAAAGGATCAGGGCTGCGATGCCTAGGGTACTTCTGCCAGATACTACGGCTGCACCTGTTCAAATGGTCATTACGCTTTGTTGGTGTCTTGACTGCGACGCAATCGCAATTTTAGAACAACCCAAAGTCTTTTGTTACACTGGATGCCATCGGGAAGCAAGACCTTCGTGGATGTTGGGCCGGCTTCACACCCTCTAAAAGTTTCAGTCAACCGTCGGAAACATGAATCAACAAGTTGAAAACCCAGGCTAGCCTCTTCAGCCTGTGGGAAGAGCATGAGTGAGCGCCAACTATGATCAGATTCTGACGCTCCTCGCTCAGTTCCGGCTCACTGTCGAGCTGGTGCTCATGATTGCTGCCAAACAGCCTCAGAGATCAAATCCATTGCTACTCGCGCTTCAAATGACAGGACTCTTGGAGCCAGCAAACTGCGTATCAAACCTCCTCAAGCTTCCACGGGGTCTTCGTTTCGTGGCTCCATTGAGCCCGCTGCACACAGTATGTCATCAGTACCGATTGGCTGTTTGGTTGTTGTTGTTGCTGCTGCTGCTGCTTCTGCTCCCGCTGCTCTTGTTGTTGCTGTTGCTGTTGCTGCTGCAGTTGCTGTTGCTGTTGCTGTTGCTGCTGTTGCTGTTGTTGCTGTTGTTGCTGTTGTTGTCGTCGTCGTTGTCGTCGTTGTGGCTGTTGTTGTTGCTGTTGTTGCTACTGCTGCTTACCTGCTGCCGCTGCCGCTGCCGCTGCCGCTGCCGCCGCCGCCGCCGCCGCCGCCGCCGCCGCTGCCGCTGCCGCCGCTGCCGCTGCCGCCGCCGCCGCCGCCGCCGCCGCCGCCGCTGCTGCTGCTGCTGCTGTTGTTGTTGTTGTTGTTGTTGTTGTTGTTGTTGTTGGTGGTGGTGGTGGTGGTGGGGGCGGCGGCGGCGGCGGCGGCGGTGGTGGTGGTGGTTCAAAGTCTGGGTATGCAACGAGGGCATGCAACCAGCTAGGCGGTTTTGCTAATGTAAAGTATGTACGAAGGAGTGCAACGAGGAGTATGTAATGAGGCAGCAGGTCTTGTTGCACAGTGTATGTAAGTCCCGGGGTATTTAGCGAATGTCCGCCGCGGCTCTACTATAGATCCCCCCAACAACACACACACACACACTGCCATCATGGTGTTTTGTCTGCTCACGCCAGGCGCCGGACTTGATGACAACCTTCTCGCGAACCTAGCGATCACGACCCATGCTTGAGTCAAGGTCCTGAGCTCCAACTGAATACTGGGCCAGCGGGCGATGCTCAGCCAGAACCATCCCTAAAAATCCTCAAACTGGACAGCTTCTTTTGCCATGGCAAGCACGTGCAAAATGATGACCCCTCTTTGTCACTTCTCATGTTGGACTCCCTGAGATCGCTTCTGACTGCAGGTGATCCCGGGGTTGAGCAACGTTTTCAGCGCGCAAAAAATCATGGCCAGCAACGCATTGCAACTATCATGGAACAAACGTCTACCTGTACCTGTTCTCAAAGAAAGGGACGGCTCTCAGAGCTGCTTGCAAATGACATGTTCAGCTAGAATACTTGAGATACATTGGATAGTTGGGTGTTGCTGATGGGAGGGATGTGGTTGGCAGATTCCACATGAACCTGATTCGATTGAAAGTGGGAGGAGTCTGCATTGACACCTGGTTGAGCACCTTGAGCATAAGCCACAAGCTGAAACTTACAAGTCTAGCTCGAGGAGGGCGCGTGCAGTAACAGGGGCATCTGGAACCCAAGAAGAGGTCACACCCCTCAAAGCTTGCCATGTTTAGAGCCAATGTTTACGAAGAACGCACACTCACGTAGTCATTTTTGTGCTCCATCACCTCCAAACATCTTTTCAGTGGGTAAAGCAAAGCATGCGGAGATTCAACCCCACCTTCTCCGGCATCACGGCTCCGCGCCATGCCGCAACAACGTCGCTCAGCCTGGAGGCTGGGCCAAGTGGACAATGGCCCCTGCGATTGCGTATCTGGTTATTCTCAGGAAGGCCTGAGTGGATTGCGGCCGTTTCAAGCCATGGCCGGATAAACAAGGAAACAACCTGCTTGCACCAGAATGAGCCCCACAGTGCCAAACAGCCAGAGAGAGCACGGTCTACAGGCTATGGCTTTTAGCTCGCACTCCGAGACCTTATACCTTCGAGCCGACGGACTCGTGACATCTTGCCTATTTGGATTGGCTGTCGACGGGACACTCATCAAGGCATGCCTCTGTGAGCCGATGAGGTTAATGAGGTGCATGGGCCTTCAGGTGTGTGGTTGGCTGCCGTGTGTGATTGGCACGGGCGCCCCAGCTTGACGCTCTCAAGATACTCCAACATGGTCTGCGTCACCTCAAAGCACCGGCCCAACCTCAGTGGCGAGATTGCCCCCGGTCCACACGTTGACTGGTTAGGTCAATCGTGCACTGAACATTGCAGCGCTGGTGTCATGGCAGTCTCAAGTTGGTGAAGTCCGCTTATGCAAGTATCATGTTCACTTCAGCGATGTGCTGTGGAGCAGCTTGTTTTATGTCAAGACAGCGCGACCCTATGACCGGATCAAGTGACCTTTGTTCACACGTGACTCGTAAGGCAAGAGACATCTGCGCTCATATTATCAGGAATGCTAGATTGATTGTGCCGCTGATGCTAACTGTAATTGCCTCCTGATGTTCAGATGTGTTTGGGCAGTTCAACCAACGCCAACCCCACGGTTCAAGGATTTCCCGCATCTAGGCAAGCATGCTTTGTTGCCTTTGCGTGCTCCTCTTGCTGCCTTTTGACGAGGGCATTCTGAATACACTGTAGTCACTACCACAGTTCACCAAGCGTAAGTAGGGTACCCCAGAAAAGCCGGGAATTTCGGCTACATCTGCCGCGTCCAAAGAATGCAAATCAAGTTGGGGCTGTCACATCGACGAGGGCTTTGTGGCACAGTGTAAGGTGTGTGTGTGTGTGACGGTCTGCACTCATGCGTCTACACCAATCACAATTTAAACCACTGGACGCAGGATGCCAGAGACATTCATATGGGGTTGTAATTCTTTGAGGGTGCCCTTTTTGGGGTTGGTTTTAATTGGAAATCAACAGGAAACAAAAACACATGTTCAGCCTCCCTGAGACAATCATCACGGGCCATCTCAAGCCGGCGTCTGGGGCAACCCGGCAAAATGGGGGTCCAGAAGCGGTCCTCTTCCTCCGTAGTGGACCTCACGACCGGCCGCTCGAAAACCATCCCTGTGTTGCGTGTATCCAAGGTGCGCAACTCAAGGAGCAGAACGGAATGCTTGTGATTGATATGGACCCGTATGATTGGTGCTTACAGGAAGCGGCGTGTTTTGCCGCGTCGTCCAGCGCACCTTGCCCCCAGGCCTTCTGCAAAGTGAGGAAAAAGCAAGATGAGAAGAAGCGCACGGCCCGCCGCATGGCCTAAAAGTTCTCTTGTAATGCGGTGTTGGTCTGGAACGGCGCCGGCATACATAAAGCACTACAAGCTCTGGAACGCGCATTTCTCAAACGCTTCCGGAACTGCACGGCTAAAAGTCGTCCCCTGTTTCCTTGCTTTTAACAACAAGCATAGGTGTTTGAAATATGGGAAAATGAATTGCACCCGTGGACGAAGACACAGGTTTGCAAGAAACGCAACAGCGAAACCTAGCAGAAGCGCGTTTGAAGAAACGTGGCCCACACACTCAGGCTCTATTCAGCTTCCTTTTCTGCAGGCCTCCAGTTTTCTTTCCTGCCATGCTCGACTGGTGCCATCGAAAAGGATAGGCGGCACAAAGAAGCTGACAATTTAGGGCGCCTTGGCAAGCCGGAGAAGTCAGCCTGTACTCGCGGGAACGGGCAATCCATCAAAAGCTGCACGCCACAAAACACGTCAAAAGCGAGGCCAAAACCGAGCAAACATGTGAGCATCCTGCTTCAGTAGGCGGGGAACACCATCACTAGCCCCTGCCCGGAAACAACCCACCAGCCGGCACCTCAAGCAGTACCTCTCGTCTTTCAGCTATCTGGCATAAACAGGCTCTGGATGTTGCCTCTCGCTGCAGCCATGACTCACATTGGCATCCCTGGTGAAAAACGCAAGCGTCATGCAGCTCGTTCAGCTGACGCTTGCTGTCATGAAGCTCATCCGAAAGCTTCGAGGTCAAGTCGGTGCAACCCGTTTCGAGCCCGTTTTGAGCGTCCTTGGTGCCTGGCAACGGTGGCTGGAGAAGGGCTAGGCGAAAGGATTCCTGAGGCGTGCAACTATCCAACACTTGACTGAATGAAGCTGAGGGCGAGGAAGGCTTTCTGAAAGTTGTCTGGCGTTGGATTCAATGCGGCTGTGGGTCTCACGCTTATAATGCTGCCTCGGCCAATCTAACCAATCTATCCAAAGGAATTGAATGCCTGGCCACACCTGTGCACATTGCTTGACCCAGCACAAAAAGCCCACAATGGCAGGCACATGTGTGTTTCGTTGACCCTCGACGCTGTCCTTCAGGCTCTTGAAGTCATCATCGCCTCGCATGGGGCGCCAGGCGAATGATCCAGCAGAATGGACACCCACAGGGACAGACCTGGCAGACATGGCCGTCCATCCAAGATTGGCCTCTCTGCTAGCCTACTGGACAACCCGCTTGTCTTCAAGACAACAACGTGAAGGTGTCCTGTAGCAACATGCGTAGAAAGACCACCGTCAACCACTCCTGTCATTGGAATGCGCATGTCCAAGCATCTGACAAGTCGTTACCTGTGCCACGATTCATCCCAGCCATTTTGGACAAGCTGGCCAATGAGGCCGAGTTTGGCCAAGGAGCCCCTCTGATCCCCGCCTGAGTTATCCATTCATGGTTCAGTTTCAAACCGTCAATGGATGCTTCATGCAGAAAATTGGGCGGCGCCCGCAAGCCAGCGACCGCTAAGCCAGAGCCATGGAAACCGAGCTGAGGCTTAGCTGCCAGCCTGGACCAATGGCTGAGGCTCCCACCGATCTGCTCCAAGGCCAGGGGCATGTCCACGCTCAACACCTGCACGCCCCGGCAACAGCTCTTGCGAACGGGCTGAACTGAGAAACACCGCAAGTGGCGCTGAAGAGGATATTGGTTTGTCGGAAAACTGAGCTCACTCAGGGAATGCTCACGCAAACTTGCTCCATGCCCAACCTAGCTGCTCGAATTTCCAATGGTGTTAATCAGTTCCTTGCCATCGGCTGGATCGCTTCTTGTGTTCACGCAGACTTCATCCCTAAAGGGCAGCCAACTAAACGAGCGCATGCTCTGCTCGCAAGTATGCTTGCACTTCCCAGTCTGGGGAGGAAGAACGCATTGGGTCCCTGCAGCGCGTAATACAAAACTTGAATCTGAAGGGTTAGGACTGCTGGGGCTTCCCTGTGCTTGCGGCTTGCCCATGTTTTACGTGCTACGTGCTCAGCTCGTATGCGCAAATTAACCCATGCACCTCCCCCACCCCATCACCCATGCTCCCTGCGACCTTCTCACAGTGCTGCTCAGACAGATCCGGAGAAGCTACCTCGCTCTGCACCTGGAGTGGGCATTGGTGTGGATGCTGGAGCTTTGAGATCTGGAGGAGAGGAAGCCAAGGCATCTCCACACCCTGCTCAATGCTTGTTGTGCCGTTTCACCAATTGGCTCAGGATCAGAGGGGCGTCCTTCTGACACTTGGGCGGCAAGCCTCTAGGAACAAGGGCTCACTCACCTCACCTGAACCAAGTGCTGCGCAAACCGACGCTTGCAAGGGCTGGAAAGGTACACAACTTCTGGTGGGTGCGGCAAACCAGGCACAGAAGCTGCTGCGAGGCAAATGACAAGACATTGAGTTGAACCTTACGCTCCTTCGCCTGCTGATTGGCAGCGGAAAGCCAAAATGCCCAAGTCGAAACTTGCAATAGAGATTCAGCTCCATCAATAGCCGCCGAATTCTTATGACGCCGCTTCACATGTGAGTATTTCAGTGTCTTGTTCAAACCCGCTTTCGCAGCAGCTCCGAAGCATATCCTCTAAGACAGCGAGGCGGCTGTGTATTCGGCAGAAACCCCACCAAACGCAGCCTTTCTTCGCAGATCCGTATCCCACTTACCGCCCCGTGAGCTGCCAACGCATGACAAACCTGAAGCCCCGCACATTGTCAGTAGACAAGCTCGGCTGCCAAGATCTGATACTGCATCTGGAAGCAAAATCATCTTAGGAGTACTGCATCTGGAAGCAAAATCATCTTAGGAGTACCCCATCCCGCACACACTCTTTTTTGATCCGACATAAAGAGATCCGTTTGCGCGATCTTGAATCAAGCAGCTGGGACGTTGCAAGTTTCCGAGAAGGTGCTCCAAAACACCTCCCGTCAACACATACACGCCACTCGATGCATCCCTTCCGCCGCTCGGATCTTCCGGCAACTTGCCGGAATCAGAGGCTATGAGCATTCACTCAAATCAGGCTGCCTGACTTGTCCGCCAACATGTCTTTGATTCTTCGAGTCGCACCAAAACCGTGTTGTCCAACAGCTCAAGTTGCTTCAACCTAAGTGAAGCTGATGGTCTGCAAGTATTGGTGCTTTACCAGTCTGAACGCCCCTTCCCATGGCTTAAGTCCAAACCCTTCACAACTTTCTCCCCAAAAACATCCAACAACCGCAGGCTACGACCCTCACGCACCCGTTTGCAGTTCGATGGACAGGTCGAGCACCGTTCGCACATCAGGCGGAGCAGCTCTCAAAGCAGCGTTCGCAAATGTCGTAAGACTGGGCCTCAGCTATCTGCACTCGAAAGGGGGGTAGCGACAGATCGGAGTTGCAAGCCACAAGTTCTTGGCCAAAACTATGCCTTTCGGGATCTGAGAAACGTGGCACTGAACCAAGAACTCGAGATCGAAATGCGATTCTCGGGATGCCTCGCGCCACATTCTCGTCAGGCGGGGCAAGAACACTTTGGTCTTTTTTGTGCAGAAACGTTGGCTTCGGCAACGTTAGCCCAAGTTGCCAACCACAGATAGATCCCTTGCAGCAGCCCAGTTGCCAACCCAAATCAAGGAACATTGTCTTGCCCTGCCATCAGAAGTTCGGACCATCGGTTTCGCAAGCTTTGAGTCCTGAGGTCCTGAGTGCCCGCGCGTGCAAAATGGTGTTGGCGCCGTTTTGGCCTTGGACGGCACTCCGAACGCACGGAGCTTTGTCACCTGTTCGAGGTCGCAATCCGGACTGTGTGGCGGATCCCAGCCTGCGGGAAAATCACATGAAGCAAGCCAACGGCACTTTCAGGGATCCGTAGAGAAAAAAAAAACACAAAAAAATAAGCGCGCAGCTCAAAAGACATCCATCCTGGCCATTGATCAAGGGCCAAGAGGCAGGTCCACAACCTTGAGGGTTCCTTCACTGGCGTCTGGCACAAGTCGCAGGTCACAGCCTCTGGGCACCGAAAACGGCGCTGGAACTTTCTGGTCGCAAGCGCGAGCCAAGCGAAAGAAATGGGCATGGCACACAGCGCCCCTAAGGGAAAGATGGGAGGTCTCAGGAACTACTTTCCTCGCAAATGGACCCAGGCTCTCCTCAAGAATTGCTTCAAAAAGTGGCGCAGGAAGGCATTGGACGACACAGATGCAGCAACCTTTCTTGCCAACTAAACCGAGGGGCCACATCCACACTAGGGGGCTGGGCGAGACTTGGCTGCTGGTATTGGCCCTGGTGCTCAAAGCAAGAGAATATGACAGCACATTGCCAGCCCACGTGAAGTTTGGCTTACTCCGAATCTGGGGCCTTCCCCGCAATGGTCAGGGGGTAGAATCTACAGGTGGCAGCTTCAACACGTCTGCAAATTCAATGCTTCATCCGGTTCGCTCTCTCTTTGCTACTTGTGTCAATAGTTCCCGCGCCTGCATGTCAATGAGATCATTGACGGAAAAGCGCCGGCCAGCATACTCCAGGAACCCGCTCCTAGGCAGCACGAAGAAGCAAAGACGGCACGAAGCGATCTGTCGTAAAATCCGCCCGGCAGAAAGGCGAGTGGACTTTGTTCTGAGGTCATTCATGTCAGTCTGGCACTTAACAAACGTAATGCCACAAAAAGCCCTCAGCCAGCTTGTCCATTCTGGCAAATATGATGAGAGCCCCAGGCCAATTCTTCACGCCCACCGCGGGCCTATGGGTGGACACTCGAGCGCAACTCTCCAACTTAGATGAAACTCCTACAAAATACACAGAAGCATTTTGGCTAGACCCCACCATGTTCGGTTTGAATCCCCCAACTCCCCAGTGGCTTAAGGACCCCGCGGGTTCACCAGCAGCTGGACCCGCTGCCTCAGCTCCAGCAGCTCCAGCTCCCCCCCGCAGACGCAGGGCGGCGCCTCCGCCGACCTGCCCCTCAGCAGCTCCTCCGCGCGAAAGTCGCCGGAGGAGGTGAAGGGTCTGCCAGTTCTGGGAAGGCGCAGGAGGAAAAACCAAGGGGCGCGTCTGCAGTGTGAGTCTGTGTCACCTTGGGCTGCTTCTTGCACATTGGAAAGGCTTGCAGAGTTCAAAGCTGAAGAGAATTATGATAATGAATCAACCCTAAACCCTAACCCAGCACCACCATCCGCGCAAGAAGCCACAGCCACAAAGATGAAGAAGATCTTCGCGTTGGGTTGCAGAACCAGTCAGCTTTCGGCATTTGTTTGTCATGCGGGTTGATATTTTACCGTGTGCAGATATATCCTTCTTTGCAACAGCTACCATCAACCCCCCTACCCTGGTAAGATTCGACAATCGCGGAGGTTCAGAGTCAACATATGCGCCGCACAAGAAAGGATGAACAACCGCTCAAAGGTCTTCAACACGAACAAAGACCACAATACGTACACGGCCTGACACGAGCGGCCACTGTTAGCACTGATGTGCTCAGAACTGAGCAATCGAGTTGTTGGTTCTGTTTCTGTTCGCTTGGAGGCAGCCAGCATAGAGCATCGCAGCTTTGCATTGAGCGAAAAGACTGCTAGATGGCTAGATTAATTCTCAAGTCTGGCTTCAGGAATTCCCCTTGGCCTGATCTATGTCAAGAAAAAGATGCGACAATGGCCGTCTCCTGCTGCCTGGGCTTTGCCTGGCTTTGCAGGCGAATCCGCATGTCATCCTGGCCAATGGACGGGGGCATGCTGGGACTCCAAAAGATTTGCAAGTCCAAATTCACCCTTAAAGTGCCAAGCTTTTTGTTGGGGCAGGAAACTACTTGTTGCTCTGAATGTTCCTTTCTTATTCATCACAAACGAGTGCCACCAATCTATGAAAAATGTGGATCTCGAAAGGGCTCAACCTGGATGGGAGTGCTGTTGGCCGCTTTGGCGGCGGGTGAAATGCTTGTCATGTGAACCAAACAGCCTCAACAGACCAGCCCCTCCCGTCAAAGGAAACCGGTGCGCTGCACAACCCTGGCGAGAAGAGATCCACGGCCCGTCCGCCGGTGAGTGCCGACCGTGGGGCCCACGAGTTCGGTTTGTAAAAAACATGGTTTCCCTTCGAACCTCAGATGTGTACATATGACGAGCTTCGCAACATGCATGCCAGCGTCCTGCGCATTGAAGACATCGATCTTGAAAATGCTTCCCTGGCGTAGCATTCAAATCTAACCTTATGCCGCATGCCACGCCGGAACCACGTAATGAAACTTGAATGCTCTCAAACTGTGTCATTTAAGCAGTGGCAACAGCGATGATTCTGTGCCGGTGGGGCCTGGATTATCTTCAACTTGCCGATGTGTGTGCTGTTTGGTCCATCCAGTCTCTCCAACCTTTACATCGCACTGCGCACATTTCGATGGCTGATGCTGCTTCCAAACATGTCTGCCAGGATACGAGTAAGGAAATGTACATCTCTGTCACATCGAACAGCCAATATGCTTCTAGCTCTAGTCAGGCTTCTGGCTGAAGGCAACATGGGCAACGCGACACTCCTCCAATGTTCCACATTCATGTGTGCTGTAAAAGTCTAGAAGACATACATCTATGACGGCTAGACCTTGTACACCGCAGCAAGGAAGCAAAGCCAGGACAGTCTATGTAAACCGAATAGACACAACACGTCTTGCTGCTTAAGAAAACCAATCCAGCAAGCGAACCCATAAATGACGAAACGCATATGGGCGCGTGTTTCTTCCCCTCCCCCCCGCCCCAATTGCGGGGTTTCCCTTTACCACCCCAACAAAAAACAAAATAAGCTCAGGCGATATCCCAACAGCCTCCTTGTAACCGCCCTGTGAACCCTCCCAAAACCCCGCGGAGCCCACACCAACAAATTAAAACAGGGGGCTGACTTTGGCTTTCCTATTGTCGTCTAGGAGTCAGTCTTTGTAATAACGCGGCTGAAGCTTTTAGCATTGTAAGTCCCTCGCCCAAACCACTTCAACACTGCTGTGGAATTGAAGAGGCTGCTTTGCAGTGAAGGCGGCATCCTAAGCAAAACGAACGGCAAGCTATGATTTATGGGTTGGGTGATAGTTTGGAGCTCCCGGCCCCTGGTGCGCCCGATTGCACCGCAGGGGAACACCGTCGGGCCCCGGGCGTGTGCTGTCGGCTTCACCGTGTGGAACCCTTGCCGAACCCGTGTGGAACCCTGTGGAACTCCTGTGGAACATTACCTCAGAGCCGCCCCTCGCAGCACCGTAGGACTTTCGCGTGGCGGGACTCTCACGGGACGCTTGTGGAACCCTGCAAACCCTGGAACCTGCCTCAGCGAACCACTCCACGGCCCTCATAAAACCTTTGCGTGTGGAAGTCTGTGAAACTCCGTGGCCGTACCACCCACGTCGCAACCCGTGTAGAGCCCTGTCAAACCCTGTGGCCAGGGCCTCCCCAAGCCACCCCGAACCTTCTGAAACCCTCCATGAAAAACCCTTGCAAGGGGAGATGTGTGGAACCTTCCCAAGACCCGAAGCCTTTCCGCTGTTAACGGAAAAATATGCTCTTTTCCCCGCCCGCCTGCTGCTGGAGCCGCACTTTGAGCAGCTCCGCGCGCTGCAGCTCCAACAGCATCTGATCCGGCTCCTTCAGGCCGTTCACCTCCAGCAACCTGAGCCCATAGCTTCAAGGCCCGAGAGTTGCCACCGGCTTGCAGAGGGAGGGCAGCTGAGTGTATCTTGCAGAGGGGTATTCGTATTCTTATCACTCTTATTTGTATAAACGGCTATTATTTTGTTGTGTTTCTTGATGTTGTGTTGTTCATTATCAGTTATTACAATGATTATCACTGCTGTTATTGATACTATCAGTGTTGTACTAGTACTTGTGTTTTATCATTATAACTATCACTACCATTAGAACTAGAATTATGATGGTTAATGCTATCATTAACTATGTCATCATTATCATGTTCATGACTATCATGTTCATTGTCATTATTGTTGTTATTGTTGTCACGATGTTCTTGTGTGCACACATTTCCGCTGTGAACTACTGTTTTCTCATTTGATCATCTACTACCTCCGCATTTTGAGACAGAAAGAAAATGTAATTTACATTCCAAGTAAGATTTCAATTCAGATGAAATTGGACACCTGAATCCTTCCAATGTTGGACGAGGGACATATCTCAAGCAAACGTTTGTTTTCAGTCAGAACTCAAAAAGGAAGTAGGAGTCAAGTAGAAGAATAAAGTGTGAAAAACTTCATGCGGGAGAGAAAACACTTGCAGTTGTTAAAATCGATCCACACCGGATCCGTTCAAAAATGAACTTACTCATACTTTGAGCAAAATTGGAATCGAATCTCACAAAGACATAGTTCAATCAGACTTTGTTCGCTAATTAGAATTTAAATAGGGTGTTCTTTCCAAACATGGCTTTATCGAAAGTTCAATCAGGAGCTAAACAGAATCTAACAAAAACATCATTCAATCAGAGTGTCTATGTTGAATTCGAAATTAAATTGGCATTCCTTTCAAGGTAGGGGTTGCAAAACATGCGCCTAGAAGTGGAACAAGATTTAAAGAGGTTTCAGTGAGGAAGTATTTCCAACAGCTTTAAACCTTCAACTCGTGCGCAATTCCAGTTCCATTAATCAACCTGCAACCATAATTCAACAAGGAAACAAAACAATCTCAATTTCGGTTTTGAGATATAATAGAACTTAATACGGATAGAACTGAAATATATTTTTTGTGGATGTTGATTGTTTTTTTTCTTGGGCAGAAGGTGTTACAATGTCTGAGGGGATGGCACAAGGGCGCAACTGCAGAAGGACGTCGGAGTTTCGTGGAAGTGTTGCTTGAAATTGAGCCTGCCGCTTTTTCTGCCAAGGATGCAAAGCACAACCCACACTCACAGTCACGCGTCCCGCCTGTCTCCAGGGTGAAGGCAAACACCTGTGCCCTTGTCCTTCCACCGGCCCGCCAGGCCCACATCCTCGCACACAAGGATCTGGTTTTGGTTTTGGGAGAGCTGGAAGGTCTTGGAGGCATCTGGCTTCTCCAAGCCAAGATCGATGTTCACCACGTACTCCTCCGCAGCCGACTGATGTTGCACCAAGAAAAACAGAGCCCGATGTGCGACCAGCTTCTCACGAATTGATTCAAGCGTGTCCACTGCGTGCTGCTACGAGTTCAGACAAGAATCGCGAACTCCGTGGTTCGCAACCATTGACCGTAGTCTCGCTTTTGCCAATGCCCTACGATGCGTGCACGACTACCCCTTCTTTGCCCAACGCAAAAGCCTATGAAGCTTTTGCAAGCGTATCTGCCCCAAAAGTGTGAGGCAATGAGTGGTGTCTGGTCACTATGAAAGTGATATGGAGCGATGATCGAAATGGGTGGTGGTGAGCACGTGCGAAGCTTGGTGTAGTTGAGACAGCTTACGCATCCGGTTTAGGGCTGATGTCTGAGCCGAGTAGAGTTCATGCGGGCAAAGCACCTGAACGGATTGGGTTTGAGCGGTTTGTGTTGGCCAAGTGTTGATGCTTCGTTGAAATATTGGTTGAACTTGCCATGCGTGGTACTGGCTCACATCTTCGTGCAGCAGGATGCCTTCAACCCAAAGGCGGCGGCAAAAATATATGCAACTAAAACTCGGCCAGTGAGCGCGTGCAAGGAACGACGACAGCAGGCGATGCAACGCACCGTAATGGTCTAAGCGCCAAACGCATGTGCGCCACGGGCTTGGCAGAACAGCCAACTTACTGACAGCCGAAACGGCAGTTCTTGCCTTGCAAACATCCTATGGGAACCAACCAATGCACGCACATTGCCCAGAGCAACCCCACGCACACTAACGGCTCCTTGAAGGTAAGGGTCAGTGGAAAGCTATCGGGCGTCATGTCCACCAAGGGCCTCAGGTCCGCCAGTGCACTCATTCCAGAATCTGAGCACCAAGCAGCCTTGGGGATTATGTTTTTTTTAGAGGTCCACACACAGAAACACACACACACACACACTTGATCTGCTCCCCGAATGGAGATGACATCCGCTTCTCAATTTGGTCAATATCTGGTCAATATTTGCGTTTATTTGCCTTCTTTTGGGGGGAGACATGCCACCTGCACTGTCAAGCAGGTACGTTTCACCAGAAAAATGCGAGGTCTTCGTTGGCCACGGCTCACATTTTGGCCCCTGCTCTGCTTAAAAGAGGGTGCGTTTCTTGGCTCTCAGACTGGTCACACACCCACCTGCCCCATGAACGGGGAGGCTCACCGAATTCTAGACCGCGCACATCCATGTTGCGCTGTCCCGCTTGAAATTCGAAAATCCAAAAATCCTGGCAAAATGCTCCTCGAGCACCTTCATGTTGCGCTGAGCCACAGTTAGTACAAGGTTTCACGGTTGCTTCAAAAAACGGTGGTTCTGGACCGCGCGCATCCATGTTGCGCTGTCTCACATGAAAAATTGTGGCGTAATTCTCTTCGCGCACCTTCCGGGCGGCGGCTCTAAAGCCAAATCTTCTCTACCAACCTGCGCCGGCCTCACAGCTTGTCCCGCTGTGTTGGCAACTTGTGCTGCAGCTGTGAAGAAGTTGAACACGACCCGGAACAGCTTTCGCTTGACGAAATAAGCTGCCTCGAAAGGCTTCCGTCTTGTGTTCAGAGGTAATGAAGTGTGGAGATCAGGGTTGGGAAACACGGCAGGTTTCTGCTCGTGACCTCTTTTGTACAATCCTCCAGTGGGAATCAAGCTCATGAAGCTGCGAGCAAGGTTCAGTAGGCGGACGCTCCGTTTTGGTGCGTACTGATTGCTGATTTCTGGCCCCGTAGGACCGATTTGTGTTTGTGTTTGTGTCGCGTTTGTGTGTGTTTGTGTGTGTTGTGTGCTTGCGTGTTTGTGTGTTTGTGTGTTTGTGTGCTTGCGTGTTTGTGTGTGTTTGTGTGTTTCTGTGTTTGACAGAATGCCCGACCGAAAAGACACACTTGATCTGCTGCCCGAAAGGAGATGACATCCGCTTCTGAATTCGGTCACTATCTGGTCAATGTTGCTTTCTTTTGGGGGGAGACATGCCAGCCGCGCATTCCAACGCCCAAGCACTGTCAAGCAGATACGTTTCACCAGAAAAATGTGAGGTCTTCGTTGGCCAAGGCTCACATTTTTCCTCCTTGGCCCCCTGCTCTGCTTTTAAGAGGGTGCGTTTCTTGGTTCTCAAAATGGTCACACACCCAAAGACTAATTATACGTGCAAAGATCGTCTTGTCAGACCACTTGCTTCAAAACGAAGGGAAGGTACGTAGAGATCTCAAAGTTGAACATGTCAGCTCCAAGTCTCTCATTCAGTCAAGATACTGTCTGAGAATCCGAATTGGCAAATGTTTCGCGCCTTTCGCATTTCCAATTTCTCACAGGTATGAGCAGCTGACCCATTCATGCATACTGCCAGTCTCCTTTGGCGGTTTATGTCTGCTGGGCTTTGGCAGCTCTCGTGGCACTCTAACTGCACATAATTGTTGGCTCATAAGTCGGTCGCTCATACAACCCCCCCAACAAGAAAGACAAAATGAGTATGTGGTCATAATAGGCTTGTTGGTTTCCCCTTTATTTCCCTTTATTTCCCCCTTTCGCCTTACCCCAACATTTGGTCACCGAGCCTCCCCGACTCCGGACTCCCATCCCGGGCGCTTCTCCGTGAACTTGGGCAGTCGGATCTGCACAGGGTACTCCTCTTCCGTCGGCTCCCGGGGGGGAAGCACCTCGTCCCCACGGCAGTTCACCACCAGCCACTCCTAGGCGAAAGTCTTCGAAATGGCTAGACCTGGGACTTTTACAAAATCCCCTTGAATTCGGTCTTTATAAAAGCCCAATGCTCTTGACAGGAGGATGTCTTGATATAACGAGCGAGAAACAAAGGCACAAGGCAGAATCTGCGCAATGCTTGCTTGATGGGGTGTCGAACATGGGGTTGCCACAGATGTGGCTCGCTCCACGCCTCTGAAATTGCCCAGGCTTGACTGCTCTTGGATTCTTAACCTCCAAAAAGCTTCGCACCAGCTCGGGTGAAAGCAAGACCGCGGAAGTCATTGCCCAAGATGTGTTGTGTTGTGTTCCTAATCCAGTGAAGTGTGCAAAAAAGCACTTTGGCTACAAACATTTTGACCAACCTTGGCCAACATGCGATGACACCCTGCAGCCAATACGTCCAAGGCACCCTTAAATCCTCTGCTGCTGACGCGGGGATCTTCTCATCCAGCATGGTCCAAAGGCCACCACTTGCCTTTTCCCAGGTCTCTTGGAAGGCGAACATTACCTGTGAGCGTGACTAAGCCTCGCACTAGTAGCCAATGCGGGATGACCTTACATTATACACCTGAACATTGCCTTGTCAATGTGGCTTCCCCTTTTGGTGGAAGAAGCCATGTGTCAAATGGGCGAAATGTATCTTTTATGGAGCCCTGGATGAGGACACTGTAAGGCTTTGTGAACAAGTCGTGCCAACTTCGCTGCGTCGAGAAAGACTGCCTGCGAAGACTGCGGACTGAGGCTTGAATTTGATGTCAACTGTTTGGCTCCCGTCGCTTTGTGTGAACAACTGGCTGAGGAACCAAAAAAGAGGAGGGGGGGTCTACTCCTTGCATGAAAAAACATGACCATGATGTTGCCAAAGAAAAGAGACCCGTCTCAGCCTCGCTGCAAAAAGCTTGGTCAGCTGACCAGATTGCGCCCTAGCAATGAATTTGGTGCCCTCGTCCGTCCGCAAGACGCCGTTCTGCTGCAGCGTCTCGTCCAGGCTCTCGAGCCAATGGTCGGTAAAACGAATCGTGGCATCCGCCACCCGCGAGAAGACCAAGCGCCCCCTCTTGGCGTCGTAGTCCTTAGCCACCCCTTCGAGGCCTTCGAGGCCGGCCACGGGATCCACGAAATTTGGCCATGGGTCAAAACCCGATACCCGTACCCCCAGTGAACATCAACCAATCCAACCACGAAAATAGGTTCTAAAATGGGTGGTGCACCTACCCCAAAATGATACCGTTGGTTTTGACCCACAGCCATTTGTCTCCATACACAAGTCAAAACGTATTTTGCCTGTGGCGCATCAAGTGCAACCCTTCGGTCTTTGAGCAGACTGCACATCCTACGTCCTACTTTGGCACACAGCTCAACAACTTCGGAACCACAGCACTTCGGATGCAAAGCCTTGCTTTTGCAAAATCATTCCTTCGCCATGCGGCTGCACGGATCACCACACGACAGCTGGGACAGCGGGGCAAGCCAACCTGCCAAGTCCGAGGCCTCCAGATACTCCTAGGGTTCGCCTGGAAACCAATGCTCAGTGACAGATCTATGGCAGATCTATGGCATTTCCTTGGCAGTTCTCAGGCAATCTCAAGCTATGCCCCTTAAAGACGCAGATACAAGCGTCCAGTCAAATAGTCACATCATAGCTTTCCCCCAACGAAGTGACTCACGATGGGCAAGCCAGTACATGCAAGTCAACCAAGGCTCCTGTTGGAGACCTTCCCTTTGACAATGACCACTTGCGTCCAATCGTTTTGCTTCCGGCTTGACTGCAAGTGCACTTTCTCCAACATTGACTCCGAAACCGAAGGTGTGCAAACAGCCATGCACATGTTGTCACCATTCTCATGGACAGCCAACACGTTGAATGAATTACACCAGCAGAGACCCCAAACAGTTGAGGGCTGACGGGCGGGCACAAACATGCCAACAGCTTGTGGCTTTCTGCGCTTCAACACGGATGAATCAAAATGATGCAGTCGTGAACCTGGCGCGCGTTGCGTTGCTGCACGTGTGTTGCTGGCATGCTTCGCGCTTCAGCACCGCGCCAGAACTGAGGTTGGGCAAGCGCGCGCGATGGCGGGCGAGCGCGCGCGCGTGAACGCAAGTGTGGCCGCGCAAGCACGCAGTCACATGGGCAGTTCAAACACACATGTCCAATTCAGACACACATGTGTGTACACGTGGAACACACATACGTATACGACTGAAACAGTATACATTCACCTGCGGCACACGCATAAATGTGTTGAGCTGGAAAACAAACATGTGCTTCTTGGAAAGCACACACACACATGTGCAAACGTGGAACGCACATATGTGTTCACTTACGACACGCTAATGCGTTCACGTGGAACACACATGTGTGTTCACTTGGAACACAATGAAACGCGTGTCCAATTCAGACACACATGTGTGTACACGTGGAACACACATGCGTTCACCTGGAACACAAAGACGCGCAATTAAAGCACACATGTGTGTACGCGTGGGACACACATATGTATACCACTGGAACACAAACATGTGTCCACCTGGAACACCGCGTGTGCGATTAAAGCACACATGTGTGTACATGTGGAACACACATATGCGCACACGTGAGCAAACATAAATGCTCACCTAAATCGCACACACATGCGCGCACCTCGAAAACAATCATGCGTTTTCTGGAGCGCATACATGTGCACACCTGGAGAGCAAATATGTCGTCAGATGCCAAAAAAAGTTCATCTAGCACATACTAATGTGTTCACGTGAAACACACATCTGTTCACCTGGAACACAAACACGTGTCCAATTGGAACACACATGTGCGTACACGTGGAACACACATATGTGCACACGTGAACACGCATATGTGCACACGTGAACACTCACATATATGTGCACCCGGAACACACACCCGTGTGCTCATCTGATAACAACCATGTGTTCTCCTGGAACACAAACACGTGTCCAATTGGAACACGCATGTGTGTACACGTGAACACACATATGTGTACACGTGGGAGACGCAAATGCGCACACGTGAACACACACACACATGTGCACACGTGGAACACACACATGTGTACTGCACATGTGAACACACACATTTATGCGCGCGCGGAAAACACAGACACACACGAGTGTTCATCTGATAACAAACACGTGGTCTCCTGGAACACAACCGTGTGTCTAATTGGAACACAACCGTGTGTACACGTGAACACACATATGTGTACACGTGAACACACACATATTTATATATATATATATATATATATGCGCACCCGGAACACACACACACACGTGCGTTCATCTGAAAACAAACATGTATTCACCTGAAACACAAACACGTGTCCAATTGGAACAAACATGTGTGGACACATGAACTCACAAATGTGTACATGTGGAACACACATATGTGTGCAAATGAACACACATACATGCGCACGCGGAGCAGACACACACACACACACACGCGTTCATCTGATAACAAACATGTGTCCTCCTGGAACACAAACACGTGTCCAGTTGGAACGCACATGTGTGCACGCGCGAACACACAATGTGTGCCGTGAACACACATACAAAAAAGTGCACGCGGAGCAGACACACACGCACGTGTTCATCTGATAACAAACATGTGTTCTCCTGGAACACAACCGTGTGTCTAATTGGAACACAGACGTGTGTACACGTGAACACACATATGTGTACACGTGAACACACACATATATACGCGCACCCGGAACACACACACACGAGTGTTCATCTGAAAACAAACATGTGTTCACCTGGAACACAAACACGTGTCCATTGGAACACACATGTGTGTACACGTGAACACACATATGTGTACACGTGGGAGACGCAAATGCGCACACGTGAACACACACATGTGCACACGTGCAACACACACATGTGTACTGCACATGTGAACACACACATTTATGCGCGCGCGGAAAACACAGACACACACGAGTGTTCATCTGATAACAAACACGTGTTCTCCTGGAACACAACCGTGTGTCTAATTGGAACACAGACGTGTGTACACGTGAACACACATATGTGTACACGTGAACACAGCACACGTGGAACACACACATGTGTACTGCACATGTGAACACACACATTTATGCGCGCGCGGAAAACACAGACACACACGAGTGTTCATCTGATAACAAACACGTGTTCTCCTGGAACACAACCGTGTGTCTAATTGGAACACAGACGTGTGTACACGTGAACACACATATGTGTACACGTGAACACACACACATATATATGCGCACCCGGAACACACACACACACGTGCGTTCATCTGAAAACAAACATGTATTCACCTGAAACACAAACACGTGTCCAATTGGAACACACATGTGTGGACACGTGAACACACAAATGTGTGCACGTGGAACACACATATGTGTGCAAATGAACACACACACATGCGCATGCGGAGCAGACACACACACACACACGTGTTCATCTGATAACAAACATGTGTCCTCCTGGAACACAAACACGTGTCCAGTTGGAACGCACATGTGCGCACGCGTGAACACACAATGTGTGCACGTGAACACACATACAAAAAAAGTGCACGCGGAGCAGACACACACGCACGTGTTCATCTGATAACAAACATGTGTTCTCCTGGAACACATACACGTGTCTGATAAGAACACACATGTGTGTACACGTGAACACACATATGTGTACACGTGCAACACGCATATGTGCGCACGTGAACGCACATATGTGTACATGTGGAACACACATATGTGCACACGCGAACACACACACACACACACATATATATATATATATGCGCGCCCGGAACACGCACACACACACATGCGTACACCTGGAACACATATGTGTGTATGTCTGGAAAGCACATTTCTGTTCACCTGCAACACACATATGTGTTCACCTGGAACCCATATATGCGCTCACTTGGAACAGGCATTTGTGTTCACGTGCGACACTGGTGCAGACCTGGATCACACAAGCATGTTTAACCAGAACAAACTTCTGTGTTGACTTGTAACACACATATGTGTACACATGGAACACACGTGTGTGCACATGTGGAGAAACATGTGCAACACAAATGTGCAACACACATGCGTTCACCTGGACAACAAAAATGTGTTCACATGGAATTTACATTTCCTGCACGCCTGGGCGACACATAAATCAAGTTCCCGAAGCCGGCTGTGAGGCGCTATTCCATGGGGCTCTGCCTTGAACAACGCTTGTGTTTTATATGCGTGTTCCAAGTAGGAAAATAGTGTTCGTGTACGATCAATCTAGCTTTTTTGCAACACATTGCTAGCGCGCGAGCCTGCTGCTGCTGCTGCTGCTACTACTGCTAGTACTATCAGTATCGGATGCGTCTCCAGCAGTTACAGGCTTCAGCTTAGCAAAAGCTTTCCGGCGCATTGCGCTTCTTTCTCGCTTAGCTGCACAGTGTCTTTCGTATCGATTGCTAAAGTGCTTTGATCGTATTGTGGCAACTCTTCGTATCGATTCAGTAAAGCATTTGCTTTCGCAGGGAAATACGCAACCCAATTCTTCCGTATGCTCGGTACAAGGCATCCCTGCCGTCTTGCCTCAGCCGTTGTTTCTCCCCTTTGTCCAGCAAATCGCACTCCATGATAATTGCATGCGAGGAGAGCGGAAGCAAATTTGGATTGAAGCGTAACTGGGAACCGGTCACAGCTGACCACTGCGCTAGCGCCTTGCTAGCGCGCGGCTAGCGCGGGTTCGCCGTATTTTTTGGAGTCACGGCGACCATCTGTGTGGATTTGACAAATTAAGGCCACGTAAGATGAAGGTAAACGTGCGGGCTGGCTTCAAGTACTAAGTAAGAACTGCAACATTACACCCTTGAAAGCCACGCAAAGCCCATCGCGGCAACCCACGCGCCAACTCTTGGAAACCAAGATCACCGAAGACCCTAGCGCAAACCAAGCGCCATCCTAGCGCCTCCAGTGGGGAGCGGGCAATCCATTGGTATTTGCAGGACTCCGCTTGACTCCGCTTTGTGTGAATGAAAAACGGGTCGAGATTTAATTTGGGTTTTTTTTGTTTTATTTTGGGATTTTTTTGTTTTCCGTCCTGGCTACTAAAATGCTGTAATTTACAGCATTTTCTCGCGAAATGTACGTATTTTACGCTAGTCCGTCAACATCATCAGCATCGTTTTCAACATCCCCCGCATGTCCAGCCAACATCCCCAGCATCACCAGCAAATTGGCTTCCCGCATCTCATGGTAAAAGTGAGGATTCAAATACGGGCAAACTAATCCCTGTAAAACACCTAAAACGTGGCGGCAGCCCCCCCCATGATGATCGAAAAAGTGATGATTCAATCAGGGGCAAAAAGTCTAAAAAATAGCGGGGGGGTTGGGGGGGGCGGCAGCCCCCCCCATGATGATCGAAAAATTAGGGGCAAAGAATCTAAAAAGTAGCTGTCGCATGATGATCGAAAAAGTGATGATTCAAATAGGCGTGCATTTTAATCGAAAGGGGGGTGGCGGGGGCCCAGAGAGGAACTGGCGATGCTGAGGATGCAGGAAGCCAACTGGAAAAGCATCAGGATGCGAAAAGCCAAAGCCAGAAAGCCGCCAAAAGCCAAAAAGCCAAAAAGCCAAAAAGCCAAAAAGCCAAAAAGCCAAAAAGCCAAAAAGCCAAAAAGCCAAAAAGCCTGCCGCAGCGGAACTGGCAATGCAGAGGATGCGAAAAGAGAGGAACTGTGAATGCAGATGATGCGAAATGAAAAGCCACGAAAGCCACAAAAACCCACGTAAAAGCCACAAAAGCCAAAAAGCCGAAAAGCCACCGACCCTGAAAAACAAAAATAATTCCTAAAAAAAAACGAAAAATTCTTTAAAAAAATGGCCCTCCATTTAAAACTGCACAAAGTGACTGCGACGGTGGCCTCTGTAGACTAAACCCCCTTACTAGGAATTTTGACCGGATCGCATATGTGTTTTATCAGAACAATCGCATGCTTTCACCTGGAACACAAACATGTGCTGACGTGGAACACACTCATGTGGTCACATGCAAAAAGTGCGTGTTCACTTGGAACGCGCCGATGTGGTCAGCTGGAACACACCAAGAACACACAATCATTTACTTGAAGCACTCGTACGTGCATCCGCAGCATGCTGCCTGTGGCTTGATCAAGCGCACGCGCGCGCTCAAACACACGTTTCTGAGCCTCAAACACACATGCGTGCCCGCGGAATACACCGCGAATGACCAGGGAGCCGTGCCAGGCATCCAGGCTGGGGGACAACAAGAAGGAGACAAAGGGAGACAAATGAACCCGTCCGCCCGGAGAGCCGTGCCAGACATCCAAGCTGGGAGACAAACGAATCCGTCCACCCAGAGAGCCGTGACAGGCATCCAGGCTGGGAGACAACCGGGGCCAAATAAAGGGAGACAAAGGGAGACAAATGAATCTGTCAGGCAAATGAAGGGAGAGGAACCCGTCCGCCGGGAGAGCCGGGACAACCCCAGGTGCCAAGAGCACCACTGGGTATCTCGGCGTAGGTTCGTTGAACATCATCAAAGAATCGATAGACGATTTAACTCCAGCGTGATTCACGTTTGTTTCACCGGGGGGTTAACAGAGCCTTCTCGTAGCTGAAGCCGTGCACCGCAGCGCACCGCTCTCGTCAGCTCGGGACTCCAAATGCGAGCAAGGACAGAGAGAGGCCGCAACTGATAACGAGGCACTGAACGAACAGACAGGGTGTAGCCAACGATAGACAAGGAAGACGACCCACCACGAGCCCAAGCAAAATCGAAGTCCAGATGAAGGGCAGACAGAGGACCCTGTCCCCAACATCCACAAGACAAGGAATGACCGAAGCCAGGGCCGAAGCCGAAGGCAAACCAGACCCCGCCAAAAGGACAGAACCGCGGGAAGTGAAGGAAACCGCGGAGCGTGAGTGCCACACATCCAGGCTGGGAGACAACGGGAGACAAATGAATCCGTCCACCCAGAGGAGCATCCAGGCTGGGAGACAACGGGAGACAAACAAAGGGAGACAAAGGGAGACAAATGAATCCGTCCACCCAGAGAGGCATCCAGGCTGGGAGACAACGGGAGACAAATAAAGGGAGACAAAGGGAGACAAATCAATCTATCCACCCACGAGATGGGAGATAAATGAAGGGGAACCAAGGGAGACAAGTGAATCCGTCCGCCTGGAGAGCCGTGACAGACATCCAGGCTGGGAGACAAGGGGAGCCAAATGAAGGGAGACAAAGGGAGACAAGTGAAACTGTCCACCCAAAGAGCCGTGCCAGGCATCCAGGCTGGGAGACAACGGGAGACAAATGAAGGGAGACAAAGGGAGACAAGTGAATCTGTCCGCCTGGAGAGCCGTGCCAGACATCCAGGCTGGGAGACAACGGGAGACAAATGAAGGGAAACAAAGCCCAGAGAGCCGTGCCAGACAAATGAAGGGAGACAAAGGGAGACAAATGAACCCGTCCACCCAGACATCCAGGCTGGGAGGCAACGGGAGACAAATGAAGGGAGACAAAGGGAGACAAATGAACCCGTCCACCCAGAGAGCCGTGCCAGGCATCCAGGCTGGGAGACAACGGGAGACAAATGAAGGGAGACAAAGGGAGACAAATGAACCCCTCCACCCCAGAGAGCCGTGACAGGCGTCCAGGCTGGGAGACAACCGGGGCCAAATAAAGGGAGACAAAGGGAGACAAATGAATCCGTCAGGCAAATGGAGGGAGAGGGAGACAAATGAACCCGTCCGCCGGGAGAGCCGGGACAACCCCAGGTGCCAAGAGCACCACTGGGTATCTCAGCGTAAGGTTCGTTGAACATCCTCGAAGAATCGATAGAGGATTTAACTCCAGCGTGATTCACGTTTGTTTCACCGGGGGGTTAACAGAGCCTTCTCGTAGCTGAAGCCGTGCACCGCAGCGCACCGCTATCGTCAGCTCGGGACCGCAACTGATAACGAGGCACTGAACGAACAGACAGGGTGTAGCCAACGATAGACAAGGAAGACGACCCACCACGAGCCCAAGCGAAATCGAAGTCCAGATGAAGGGCAGACAGAGGAGGACCCTGTCCCCAACATCCACAAGACAAGGAATGACCGAAGCCAGGGCCAAAGCCGAAGGCAAACCAGACCCCGCCAAAAGGACAGAACCGCGGGAAGTGAAGGAAACCGCGGAGCGTGAGTGCCACACATCCAGGCTGGGAGACAACGGGAGACAAATGAATCCGTCCACCCAGAGAGCCGTGCCAGGCATCCAGGCTGGGAGACAACGGGAGACAAATAAAGGGAGACAAAGGGAAACAAATGAATCCGTCCACCCACAGAGATGGGAGACAAATGAAGGGGAACCAAGGGAGACAAGTGAATCCGTCCGCCTGGAGAGCCGTGACAGACATCCAGGCTGGGAGACAACAGGAGCCAAATGAAGGGAGACAAAGGGAGAAAAGTGAATCTGTCCACCAAAAAAACAGTGCCAGGCATCCAGGCTGGGAGACAACGGGAGACAAATGAAGGGAAACAAAGGGGTGCCAGACATCCTGGGAGACAAAGGTAGACAAATGAACCCGTCCACCCAGAGAGCCGCGCCAGGCATCCAGGCTGGGAGACAACGGGAGACAAATGAAGGGAGACAAAGGGAGACAAATGAACCCGTCCACCCAGAGAGCCGTGCCAGGCATCCAGGCTGGGAGACAACGGGAGAAATCAAGGGAGACAAAGGGAGACAAATGAACCCGTCCACCCAGAGAGCCGTGCCAGGCATCCAGGCTGGGAGAGAACGGGAGACAAATGAAGGGGACAAAGGGAGACACATGAACCCGTCCACCCAGAGAGCCGTGCCAGATCCAGGCTGGGAGACAACGGGCGACAAATGAAGGGAGACAAAGGGAGACAAGTGAATCTGTCCACCCAGGCATCCAGGCTGGGAGACAACGGGAGACAAATGAAGGGAGACAAAGGGAGACAAATGAACCCGAGCCGCGCCAGGCATCCAGGCTGGGAGACAAATGAAGGGAGACAAAGGGAGACAAATGAACCCGTCCACCCAGAGAGCCGTGCCAGGCATCCAGGCTGGGAGACAACGGGAGACAAATGACAAAGGGAGACAAATGAACCCGTCCACCCAGACTGGATCATCCAGGCTGGGAGACAACGGGAGACAAATGAAGGGAGACAAAGGGAGACAAGTGAACCCAGGGAGACAAACGAACGCGTCCACCCAGAGAGCCGTGCCAGGCATCCAGGCGGGGAGACAACGGGAGACAAATGAAGGGAGACACAGGGAGACAAATGAACCCGTCCACCCAGAGAGCTGTGCCAGGCATCCAGGCTAGGGCTTGGCAACAGGCGAGCCACCTTAAATGAATTTAGAACCCCTCACAGTAAACTGTTTGGGGAAAAAGGGTCGGGGCTGTGGAGCAATAAGAAGGATGTTGACCCTGGAAACTAGGCGAATCCAAGGGGACACCCCCGATTCATCAACCAGGGGCTTATTAATTCGGGGTAAACATCATGTGGGAAAATACCCAAAGGACAGGAAGAACAACAGTGTGCCACATCTTGACTTCGCCAAGATAGACCTAAACCCAGGGGTTTTCCTTTCGCTGGGAACGAACCACCCCTGGGTTTAAGTCTACCCTGGGGTCAAAATGGGGAAGCCTGGGTCACAATTCTGTGCGATCCCTCCACGCCTTTGAGAGGCTTGCTGCCAGTGTGCGATCCCAGCACTGCTGACCTCTGCGCACAAGCAGGAAACAAACACAAAGGTGTCTTGTCGTCAAAGCTGACGTCTGAATGGCAACCCTAAACGCTCTGGTGACACAAGCAGCCCGAGCCATCTCATCTAACCTTAAACTCGCTGAGCTTTCACTGTCTCCAAACAATGAAAGGTCAGGCACCTGCCAAAACGTGCTGGCTCCAGCCCGGGGGCAATACGGCACCTTGCAGCGACACGGCAGCTCAATGCCGCCGCCAAGCTCTTGCAGATTCCCTGTACAAATTCCGCATTCCATGTCCATGGCACGGGCGGTAGGCTTGGCTGGGCAAAGCTGGTGACTCATGTTGTTTCTCTCACTTCAGATATCCCATGACCTTAGAATTTCAGGTCGAAGGCTGATGCTATGCAGCTTTCCTGACCGGGCTGAAAGTTACCTCAACGACGAATAGCACCTACAGCTCTGCAACATTCCCATCAATGTGCTGCCAGGTACAATTGCAAAGAAAACAATTTGTGCCGGCACAACAGAGTCAGGTGATTCTAGCCAACCTGATGCCACACACATTGATTTTCTTGCAAATGAGCTGGCAACATAAAACAGCAGCCTGCCAAAGTTGCACTTCATGCTCCGATACACATCATGTCATTTTCTTCTAACCGGGGCAGCGCAGCTTTACGGTAGTTCTGGCACTGCCTTTTTGGCAACAGGAAAAGCCTTCCAGGCAGCCACCCTCTTTTCGTTTTGTGTTAGTCTGAGTTACCAAAACCTTCAGTGTATCTGAGCCCAAATTGCAACGAGGATTGATCTGCTCTGCGTCTCAAACGACACAAGACATGACTGCCAACAGGACCAGCCTCTCCTCGCTCCGCCGAAGGGCAAAAACAGCGGCATTCGCTGGCAGTTGCTGGTTTCCAATCAAGGCAGTCTACAGCGTCATGGCCACCCCGCAATGCTGGGTGCTTTGCCCGAAAGCTGACTTAAGTGTCAGGATGAAAAAACAAACAAGGCACAGACCTCCAAAGCACCACATGGTGGACATCTAAGGCAAAGCCGCTCCTAGCTGACTCCATGCCAAGGCTATTCACTCAAGGAAGAATCCTAGATAGCAGTCAAAGACCCACCGACTGGTGAGGAAACCCACTTGACCTTACCCATGCTGCTTCTGAAATGAGTATCCACACACATGCCACAGCGGCCATCTCTCGCTGCCACATGCATGCGTGGGAACTCTTGTGCCAATGACCGGGGCAGGCACATAGCAGGACACGGTGAGCACATTGGAGATAGCTGAAACAGTTCCGCCCACCTCGGGATGCAACTGGATGCCAGCGGTTTGTCGGTTTTAGGGGTGCCATCACTACAATCCGCTGGCCAACGGCGCTGGCACCTCCATAGTGATGGGTGTTGGCATCGGGCCATTCATGCACAGCTAACACGTGCGAAGGCCAAAAATCTCAAGCTGCCGCTGGACACCAACAAAATTGTGTTCCTTACTGCCTTGGAGGCCTTTTCGTTGGCAGGCAGGCAGGCAGGCAGGCAGCTGCGGGGAAGATTCACACAAAAGGCATCTACCCATCTACCTCTCGTCCTGCGAACTTTTCCCAACACTCTAAGGAAGCCTTCCATCGCTTTAGACTCGCTGTTGCTGCGGTGCTGCATGGAATGCTGGCCAGGCCCGTTGAGAAAGCATGACAGAACTTCTTGAAGACACGGCAGTACCAAGCTGAACTTCACGTGGCGCCCTTGTTGGCCCAAGGATTCCTTGGAAGGTCGCTCCAAGGAACCTTCTAGAAACCCCAAATGAAAAAGACACGTGTCGCTCGCACCCAACGCAAGCCATCCCAACAACCAGAAACACTCTGCGGCAATGAAACTCCACGGGCTTTGTTTGTTTTTTCACCTGGGCCTGGGAGGCCCGGCTTCGTAGCCCAGCTGCAGCTGCGTGCGCAGCACTGCGAAGGCGGTCTGGAACAAGACCTGGGCATCCGGGCCGCGTCGGGTTACGGCTCGGAGTGCGGGTGCCGACTTCTTCTTGGGTGGGTTGAAAGGGAAGCAACAGGAAAACCGAAGCCATTTGGGTGGCCCCGGAGAAAAAAAAGGGACACACCCAGATGTCCAAACAGAAAAATAGGTCCAAGGCCAACGTGTGTGATCAGTTTAGAGGCAAGGCGGCCCTTTCCCTGTTGCGCTTGGGAGGAGTAAACTCTCTTTAAAGAAGCAAATGCATATGCTATTGGTGCTTGGCGCAAGCAATTTATGTCCGCTGCCGCCAGATGAATTCAAGGGGTGTGACCGCAGTATTGGTACTGGGTGTACCTAGAACCCAACAAACACTTGCTCTGGAAGTGCGGGCACAATATATATATATATATATTGGTGCTTGCAGTGCTTCTGCGACTGATCATTTATTTGAGTGCAACATTGGTACTTTGGACGCCTTCATAGAAAGGCTTGCGGGGCAGTTGTGAAGGCCCCTTAGAAGACTTTGTTGCAAAAAACTGGTTGGTTTCATGTTGAAAACACAGCCCAGCGGTTGGGTGAACTGGGAAGGGGCAAAGCCAGGGGTTCCATTTTTGCGCTGTGTTCTTGGTGGGCGCTTGGGAAACCAGGGGCGTACTTCCAACATGTTGCTACGTTCACCATCTGCAGCTGGATGACTATTCACCTTGGCGATATGAGCTACATGAAGGTGATCTGTTGTCCTCTCTGAATAACCGGGGGGGAAACATGGTGATTTCGCAAGCGGAACGGTTGAGAAGAGAACAAACCCACTGGGGCTGTCTTGAATTCCAATGAACAAAAGGCTATGTGCTTGCATGCCGCATCAATGGTCTGGTGTCTGGCAGTGAACTTCAAAACCAAACATGCCCTGCTTTGTCGTGGATTTTTTTGTGCGTCCTCTCGAACCCTAAGACTGCCAACTACGGTTTGTCCAGCTTCCAAGTACTCAAGATTGGGCAATCACCCTTATCTCATAAAGCTACCCTACCCCTTACTTGCCTTTGCCGGAGAAGAACACAACACAAGGAGAAACACTCACAGAATAGAACGCAGATTGGGCCTATAACTGGCTAGTAGCCAAGAATCCTTGGAAAGTGATACACTCCAAAGCCACCGTAGAGGCAAGGTTCTGCCACAAACTTCGCCATGCCCAAACTTCAGGCCAGACCGAAATCCGTGCTGGGTGCCGCAACATCTGCGATGAGGCTCAGCAAGACCCGCTGCTGGATGCTAGTGGTGCCCACTAAGATCGACCTTTGGCGATCGAAGGACCCTTGCCACGACGGAAGAGCGGACTGATTCAAAGTGCCGGAAACACAACGACTCGAAGCTCTCCAACGGCCGAGTAAAACTGGATTTGAGAGCTAAATAAGCTTCTAGGAGCTTAATTGAACACATCCATGAACTGCACTCAACCCCAACACATCCTCAAGATGCACTCTGCGGGGCGCCGGCATGAGCATTACATTCGAGCTGTCTCCACGCGGATTCCTGGCCAGCTGCGGCTGGCAGGCCACTTGGGCCAATGGAGTCAAGATGAGTCAGATCGCTGAGATTCCCTTCTTACACTCCGTCAACTGCGAGGGAAGAGCTATATGCAGTGACTGTCACGAAAGATCTTCGGCTTGCTCCAAAGAAGCATGTGGGCCCTGATATGCTAAGCCTTGGCAGCAAAGTGTCAAGTCGTTGAGCAACCCACCCCACATCCCCGTCAACAAGTCTAGCAGCAGGAAGCAGAAAGACAAACGGATCGTTTCATTGCATGATCTCCTCAACACTTCTCACGTCTGCATAAATCGGAAGTCCAGCATCGCTATGGACGGTTTGTTCGCATCCTGACAGCAAGTCCCGTCTCCTTCCACGAAGCTCAACAGGCGCTGCAGGGCGCAGCACGCGCTCGACCTTGCAGCTGCGCATCTCTTGTCACTTCACAACGTTGGCACAGCTCGCGGAGCGGCGAAACTTGCGGTGGCCGAAAGGGTGGTGAGCAGGTCAAGGTACATGAGGGTTGGTGTCTTTGAGCATGGGCAGTTCTGGTCAAGGTTGGCTGGTGCTACTTGCCACCAGTCCTGCTCATGCTTGGGCTGTTTGGCTTGTCTACATCAGATCGGCTCCGTCTAGCAGCCACTATCCCCTGCTGACGTCTGCCCATCACCCTAGGGGTGCAACAACCGGCTGGCAAGAGGCGCATAAGGCTCCCACACGCTCACTGCTGTTGGTTGGAATGAGTTCCACCTGGCGCCAAAGGACGCTCGAATGCAGTAAGGTTATATATATATATATATATATATATATATATCTATATGACAGACTCCCAAGGTGGAGGGGGCACTCCGTCCACACACTTGAGCCTTCTACTCAGAAGCGTGAAGGGTTCCGGTGCAACTGTGCACAGATCTTGATCCTGCTTGTCATTCGACATCCACGTATCAGAAAAATCACTGTTACTCCAGCAAGATTACGGGATTGCAAGAGTACCTGATTGATCGCCAGCCTCTGCTTGGGCGTTCTGTTATGCGCTCTAATCATTAAGCATGGAATTACAATTTAGCTAGCCGCAGTCATGTGATTCCTGGCGGGCCACCCTACACATCGTTGCACCCCATGCTTCTCACCCCTGACAGGTGCTACTTTCTGAGTCGTGAAGACTCTCTTGGCGGGACTCCTTCTTCACCCGTTCCAGGCTTAAAAAAGGAGACCTGGCCATGCTAAGCACCACCTAGATGTGGGATTATTATTATTTTGAGGGCACTTCCCTTTTGGTGGCTTTTTAAAGGGACACCTGGAACACCACAAAAACTCACGCATGTGTGTAGGAAGCATCCAAAGGCGTGTCAGAAAGGTTCGTGGCATTGAGGGTGGCGATGTCTTACCCAAGCCACCGAGCCCTGCCTGGCTGCCAACATCAAGCTGCTTCAGCAGCGTCTCCTCCCGAGCCGAGAGCATCCGCTTCTCCAGCAAAAAACGCCACACGCCTCTTTTTACCCATATTATAGGGCTGTGGGTCAAAACCCCGGTACGAGTACCCCCCCACCTCCCTTCAATGGACCAAACAAAAAGGGATGGTTACCCAAAAAACGTATCTGGGTTAGTTTACAAACAGGATGTTACGGGATGGTTTTACCGACAAAAGGGGTGTTACGCCAAAAAGCAAAACCTGGGTGTTGACCGCCCGCTCGCAGGCTGACTGTCAAACGCCTCGCCTGCAGCCTCACGGCATCCTCCGGGGAGCAGCTGCCCATGACCTGCGCCAAACCGATCTGCGACACGACTTTTCGAAGACCCCGCCAGCATGGACACATGGGTGTGGGTCAACACCCCATACCCCAAGTGAACATCCCAATCCCAACTAAATAACATGGCCATGGGTCAAAACCCAAATCGTACCCCAAGTGAACATCCAAAATCCAACCACGAAAATAGGTTCTAAAATGGGTGGTGCACCTATCCCAAAATGGCACCATTGGTTTTGAACCATGGACACATCAAAACCCCGGCGTCCATCTGTAGGGAGCGCAGTGGTATCTTCTCTCGGTTTTCCAAGGCCCCCGGCCAGGCCAGTGGCAGACAGGTTGCCCTGGCGCCTCTGCGCCAGCGACTGCAAGGCTTCGCCGGCACTGAGGTTTCGGCCTGGCAAAGGCGTTGGATAGAAACTCCCGGGGCAACGTGGGGTTCTCATGAAATGGCTTATGAACTTATGACCCGCAAGTAGGCAACCTGAAGGGATTTCTTCGAGGAAACGGTTGCCACTTCAGGGGACCACGGTTTTGAGGCAACTTTCACAATTCACAGAGGGACTTGTACATTTTCGAGGCTCCGGACCCCCATCCCCGAGCCTTCCCCAACAAACCATGCCTTCTCAAAGAAAATAAGACGTGAAGATTGAGAGGGCACAATGGCCCTGGGAAAGCACGGTGCCCAAATATATGTTGGGCACTTCGGCTTTCGCGGGGTCGTGCCTTCTCAATGTTGAGAAGGCCGCAAATTCAGAGGACCCGTATGAGTTCCGACGTCTGAAAAGAGGCTCAAAGAGCGAGCCCCGCTTCGCGCTTCGCAACTTCATGACCCTCAAATCATGGCATAAATCGCTCGATCCAAAACCCATGCTTGTTAGTGTTCCATGTCACAGAGGTGCGGGTACTCCAAAGGGGCGCCCTACAGCCTCTCTGCCCCATCCGGTAGTTGACGTCTGAGTTCCAAGGGAGCCTCTCAGGGCATTGAGCATCTCAGCGCGCGAGTAGAGGTTAGGCCTCAGCCAGGCTCAGAGCGGCTCCGCACTGATGCAATGACAATGTCCCCGCATCCCAAGCTTCGTTGGCTCACTATGTCTGTAGGCCCTGGAAAAGCCTGCTAAGGCTTCCCGTGCCCTGTGTAGCTCCCCGAGGGGTCCATCAGAAGAGTCTCCGATAGCCAAGGCCTCCTTTGCCACAGAATTTGGGCTCAGTTGGAGCTTGGATTAACCTGCCGAGGCAAGCCAATGAAGTTGGAGCTCCTTGAAGAATTTGTCATCTCCGTTACAAACTGGACCAGCACCAACCCGCCCCAATTCAAAAACAAGCAAACGAACAGACCCACCACCCACCCAACCAACCAACCCACCAACCAACCAACCAACCAACCCACCCACCCACCAACCAACCAACCAACCAACCCACCCACCCACCCACCCACCCAACCAACCAACCAACCAACCAACCAACCAACCAACCATCCCAGCCATCCCATCCATCCATCCATCCATCCAACCAACCAACCAACCAGACAAACAAACAAACAAACAAACAAACTAACTAACTAACAATCAAACCCACACACATCCCAACTGCGAGTGGGGCGTTGTCCAACACAAAAATGCGAATGTTGCCAACCGAAACCACCCGGGCACTCATCCACTCCAGGCGAGCCCGGCGACAGCAGCACCTCGCGCTCGCGCACCGCGACGTTGATGGCCGCCTGGGGGCGATCTGGGTCTTTACCAGGTGTCCGAAAAGCGCAGATCCAAACAACAAACCACCCATAGCAGGACCAGCTTGAAAAGGCACCTGAAAAAGCCTTATATCCGGAAAAGCCAAGTGAGGCCACTCACTGCCATTTTTTTTGGGGGGGGGAACCCACAAAATGGCGGTTTTCCCTTTGACCTCCCTTTAAAACCCCCCAAAAACTGGGTACAAACACCCCCACAGACCCATGGCCCAAGGGAGCCTCGCTGTGGTCCTCCAGCTCCAGCTGCAGCTCCCGCGCCAAGCGCTCCAGGCGCCGCGCCGCGTCCGCCGCCTGGCGTCAGGGGAAAGCCCTCGCACTGGGGGCCGAGACAAGCGGGGGGGAGGGAAGGCGCGCGCTGCGTCTGACCCGCCCAAAGTCCATCCATCAGACGAGGTTAGGTGGCAGAAAGCCACCTGGACAGCGCAGAAAGTCTGAAAGAGGTTTTCCCGGGAGTCTTTGGCCGTAGGTTTTCTCTGTTGGCCCACACGAGCCCCACAAGCTGACAACCAATGCATTCAGCTGAAAAATAGAATGTGACGAGATACGTGGTGCAACGTTTCAGCCCCAAGAGGAGCTCAGCTTAGCTTGCGAAAGCTTCCCTAAGATGTAGAACAAACAAAGAACAGCACCTAGCCTTGAGCCAAAAAGGGCCAAACATGTCAATACACAATTTCAAGAATGATGATTCAGACTCATGGCAGCTTCTTTCCCAGTTAACTAGCCGGCACACACAACAAGCAATTGGATAGTGGGAGGATACACGCTGCCAGCTGCTAATCACCGGTCGGCATCCTTGGTGTGCGAGTGACCTCTGGCTGGTGCAGTCAGATGGATATCTGGTCCTTGCGATAGCCCCCCGCAGTCGGAGGACATCTCACTTGCTTCAATGACCCCTCAGGGGTCCACTGTTTAACTGGAGTCGTCGTAAATTTAGGGGGTGGCTCATGCCCGCAAAAGGAGAACCCAGGCTTAAGTCTACAAAGTAATCAAAAACTGGAACCTCGTGACTCCTGGCCTCCTCCTGAGGGTGGAGAAGCTGTTGCAGCACCTTCCCAAAAGGCAGTTGCCCTATGGGCCAAGTTTTTGTTCCCAGTGAACATCCCAATCCCCACTCAAATAGACTAAAATATCTGTGCAACCCCAAAATGGGATCCCATTGGTTTTGACAACCACAGCCCCATCATTTTGGGGGGTCCCCTCAAAGAAGACATGGGCAAAGTCATGTAGTGCCAGACACCACGACGTATCCCGTATTCTCGGGTGGCCTGATTGCAGTTCAACCCAAAGCTGACTATTCACATCAAGGTCGGCGGTTGCTTTGCCTCACAGCAGCCTTTTGCCCAACATCAGCTCCAACATCAGCTCTCAGCGGTTTCTTCGCATTTGGATACCAGGCCCTCTGAGCTCTCTCCCAACCCACACGACCAACTGATCATGCTACTGGCAAGCAAGCCGCTGCAAGGCAAAATTGGATTTCACGTCACCTGGAATCAGACAAGTAGCAACATGCACAGTGGACAGCTCCAGCGCTGGTTGTTAAACAAAGCAACCTGGGCAGAAGGACACCCGAATGATCATGAAGCTGTTAGTGGTGGGGAAATGATCTAGTTCTGTTGCCTGCTGCATACTCAACAAACCTGCTGCGCGGTCTAGGACGGGTGCGCCAATCATTGGCAGACGTGGGACACAGTGCTGCGCGATTCCTCTTGAGGGGGTTCGCATATCATTTGGCAGGCGCGGATACAGTACCGCGCGGGTGCTCTTGAGCGGGGGTTCCGGGTGCAGGACAGCGAACTCCCAAAGCGGCACGAAACGACAGGGCGCCCTGCGGTATGAGCAACAAGAACCTTGTAAGCAGCCATCGGGTGTTCAAAAGAAAACGCAAGCAATCCGTCGTAAAACCGCAGGCCGCACCTGTGCAAAGTGCTCCGTGGCCTTCTCGGCAAAGCTGCCTCACTAAGTGGGCCATTCGCCGAGACTTCAGTCATAGACTTCCCAAACCCTTTCCATCTTGTACATTCAAAAGAAAATCAACCACCATGTGGGTGCGTCCTTTTCGTGGCTACCCCTTTTAGGGTTGGTTAAAAAAACTACTTCGCTTCGAGCAATCCCCGCCCTCCACACTCACGAGCTTACGACCGTTACAACCAATTCCTCCGCATCCTAGAGACTTCGACTCCAAATTCCCATCGGCCCTTTTGGACATTAAGCAATACCAGACAGGCTAGCTGCTCTGGCGGGATACTGGCGGGATCCACTGGCGAATACTGGCGAGCCGCTCCGGCTTGATACTGGCCGGATACTCGGCAGGATCCACCGGCAAGGGATACTCAGCAGGATACTCGGCGGGATCCACTGGCAAGCTACTCTGAGATACTCAGCAGGATACTCGGCGGGATCCACTGGCAAGCTGCTCTGGTTGGTGGGATGCTCGGCGGGATACTTGGCGGGATCCACTGGCGAGCTACTCAGGAATACTCAGTGGGATATTCGGCGGAATCCACTGGAGGCCTGCTCTGGTGGGATACTCGGCGGGATCCACTGGCAAGCCGCTCTGACGGGATACTTGGCGGGCTCCACTGGCGAGCTGCTATGGGGATACTGGGTGGGGGCGTGGTGTGGAAGCATCGCAAACGCAGATTCCAACATAAAATCTATCAACCCCTTCCTGTCGGGTGGGGAGAAAGGGGAAGCATATGTCGTGCTCCCGACTCAGCTCCAACTCCCCCGGCAAGGCATTTGCAGCCGGGGCTAAGCTGCGCGGAGCCCCGCGTTCTGCCAAGGTCACGGCTGAGCCGCAAGGAGAAGCCCGCGTGGCCTGACGTCTGTTGCAATGGGACACATGGCAGGAAAGCAAGGCTGGGTGTGGCTCGAAAAGTGCCGCTCTGATTGCATTGAAGCTCCTGTCAACAACTACCACAGGGACCGAGGGGTAAGAGGAGGTAATGCTGGGTGACAGAGTGCAACAAATTCACTGAAAGCAAACCTACCCTCTCCCACACCAAAAGCTGACGGGACCACAAAAAATGACTTTTACCACCAATCGGGGCCAGTTGCTCATGGTCATTCTGTTTCACCTCACCAAATGGGGTCATTGTGGGGCCTGAGGGAATTTTGATCAACCCCACATGCACCAAAGGCGGCAGCGCGCCTGCCGCCACCTTGAAGCTGGTGCCGGTTTCCGCGAGGTGCGCCAGGCGCGCGGACAGCAGCCTCGGTCTTCAAAGGTGGGCGGTTCGGTGCCAAGATTTGGGGGACCCTCCGCACATGGCGAGGGGTTCCCCTTTTGGTTTCCCAAAACTAACCAAACAGACAGAAGACTCGATTTTTACCCAGCTGAAAGCGATGGGGTCTCAGCCCAGATAGGCTCTGGGGTGGTCTTGGTCTGGGTCACCTCTGAGGTAAGGTTCCGCAGGGTTCTGCGAGGGTTCCGCGAGGGTTCTGCGAGGGCTCCGGGGTGGTTCCGCGAGGGGTCCGCGAGGGTTCCACAGGGGCTGAATCGGACAATACCTTTGCGGGGGTGTACCTGTGTACCTTCCGCATCTGTAGAACCCATACGGGTGTGATGCTGTTGGGGATATCACCTGAGCCTATTTATTTTTTTATGAAATTGTTTACTTTGCCGGGGGTGTGTCTGTGCGTATGAGCTTCCTCCCCAGGTCCCCCCTCACGTTCAAGCTTGGCCATAGACCTGCTCTGAAAGGAAGCTGTCTAACCCGTACTCCATCGGATTCTTTTGGCCCTGCCCAAGGCTCCCACTCGCTGAGCATTCGAAGGCCAATCTGGGCGAAGGCTTGGGTTTCTGGATCCCAGCACAGGTAAACATGGCCCGAGGCCTGAGTCAAATCAACACTTCACAGCCCCAAGTGAAGCCACGCCTAGGGCCACCACTCAAATTCGACTCGGAATTGGGCCAGCCTTCATTGAATCCACAGCAGCCATCAAAAATCGCCTATCCGAAGAGATCCTACAAAACAAAGAACCCCCAAAAAAGTGAGAAAGCTTGGCTAGTCATAAAGGTAACTTCCGGCCGGAAAAAAAGCCGCTTGCCATTACAGCACTTGCATTGATGCATTCCCCCCCCCTCCCCCCGCTTCCCATGACCCCTCATGGCAACCCAGGCCCCCTTGCCTCGGATGCCACCACATCTGTCGCGTCGGCCTGGAAACACCAATGCCTTTCGCATAAAGAGCATCCATTGCCAGTTGCCGCTTTGTGTTCCTATCCCTCAATCTGTTGAGAAGTGCATCGACTCTGGACTCAGTCCTCCTTGCTCCAATACTTTCGGACAGCTCCGGCACACGAAAAATTGGAACAGCCACCTAACGTGCTCCGACTAGATACCTAGATGCCAGTTGCTCTAATCAGCTCTCACCGGCCAGCTTGTGACTCTTCTCACCTTGGTTCCAAAGGATCCAAGCAAGCAACACCAATACCCGCCAAGCAACACACAATGCAGACTCAAACATCTCAAACAATTGCCACTACACGACAGCACAAATGACATGTCAGTGTGTGTGTGTGTGTCTGTGTAAGTTCCTTGACCAGCAATGGAAACTGCTCTGGGCTTAAATCTGGTGGCTTTGTCCCGCAAGCTACCCGCCTCATGCTGGGCACCTCTCAGGGAAAGCTGCGCAGTCAGACGTGGGTGCCGCAAAATCCTCGCAGGTGCTACAGTTCTGAAATGTCTGAAGTGGTTTGCCAAGCAGAGTCGGAGCTCCACACACCGGAAACTCAGCACCATTCCCGTGCTTGAGCTCTTGATGACATGCCAAGGGGTTCATTGCGGGGTGTCAGTTGAAGCTGCTCGGGCTTCAAACTATGAGACGGTCGCAAAACACTGCATAATCGTGGAGACCAGTGTGTAGATCCCCCAAGGGCAGCTTGTTCAGCCAACATACTTTGAAATACCACAATGACTAGCGCTTGGCGACCCTATCTCCAGTGCAAAGCGCATTTGCAGATCCAACAACTGATTCTGTCTCAAAATGGGGACCTGGTTTTACATGAAAACCACAAGGACACCAACCACCTGGGTCTCTCATTTTGAGACACCGCCCGAGTTTCAACCTCCCCCCCCCAGTCCAGCCCTCGCGATGCCATAGCTCAGCGAGAGACCTCATGCGTTTTTCTGCTCCCTTTCGCGGATTTGCTTCGCAAAACGTCCAACCAACGGGGAGTCACTGCAGCAGACCAGGACTGCAAAAACTGCAGGACAAACAAAAGCCTAATTTGCCAGATCAGATGTCAAAGAATCCTGGTAAATCTGTCTGTTGTGCAAACAACAAAGTGCCCCAGAAAGAGCTCAAGCCACTTCAAGAGTCAATTGCAATCGCATACCGAGCATCATTACGCAAGACACAACCCCAGGGATGGACACATACATGCCCTGAACACTGGCCGCCTCAAATGACTCTTCTGCTAGTGTTCAAATGCTGAGTGGGGCATTTCATGTACAGCAAAAACGTTAAAAATCGTTTGAGTTTTTGCCACCACTACTTGCTAGGCATGTGACAAACCCCTGTGGAGCACTGCTCTCCCACGTCCCCTGGTGCCCCCGGCAAGTTTGACGCGAGCTTCCGCGGGCTTTGGCCTGACTGCACGTGCAGCTTCACACTATCAAGAAAAAGTGATCTATCTCCCATTCATTCGCACGCTTGGCACTTTGCTCTCACAAGCGGCAGGGTACACAGTGCGATACTCACAAATTCCCATCGGTCGCCTGGGGACTTGGAAACTCGGATTCGCAGTTCTACCACGTCAACTTAACTTGTGTTCCTCTCCTTTCTCTGTTCCAGCTCGCATTGTTGAAAAGCCCCAATATGGCTGGCACTATGCCGAACTTGCAAGTCCTCTCAGACGAATGCGAACTTGGGGGCGCTGTGCAAGCTGCTCTCCTCCAACTTCCCTGAACGGCTTGGTCCGTCAAGGCTATTCTGAAGGGAAAGTTGGACGATGCTTTTTTGCTAGCTCCGGCTTGTAACTAGCCCCGGCTCAGCACAAACAGGTTAGGCAGGTCGGGGCCCCAGTGCTGGCCCAGCTGCAGGCTGGGACCTAGGGCGGCCTATTGGCTTTGCTTGGCAGGTGAGAGTTGCTCGGGGCGGGCTTCGTGAGTTCTGGGCTTGCTGAGATCTCACCTGAAACCAGCCCCGAGCAACTCTCGACTGCCTCCCAATTTGAGCGAGGCCGGTGATGCTGGGGATGCGGCCAACCAACCCCGAATGGTACCATTGGTTTTGACCCACAGCCATTTGTTTTTGCTCGAAAGCTTCCAACCCACGGCTCCCCATAGCTCCCGTCGCACCGAGGCACCAGGCCCCATAGCTCCCCCAGGACGCCAGCACCGGCCGTTGCTCGGGGCGTCAACGAGACCCGAGGGAGGCCTTGCGGCGCACACTACCGAGATTGAGTTGACGAGGAATCACAATAGCAGAAGACGGATAGATCTCTGTGCAGAAAATGGTTACACATATGAATGATAACACTGCTTTATGTGTACTAGCTATCGTGCGATGCCGTCACACCTTCACAATTTGACTGCCCTAGAATGCCTTGCACAAGGCCGTTGTTGTTGCCTGCATGCTGCTCTACAGGTTGAAGTGTCCTTTCAAGCAAAAACTTTTGAATTGTAGTTGGGTTCGCACTGAAGAAAGCCACGCGATACAAACCAAACCTTAACCGAGACCCTGAACAAACAAAAACCACTAAATACAAACCGAAGGGAATAGCACCTCAAATCAACCGTATGCAGCATACCGCTTGGTATGACCGAGTGACCAAGCAACCGAAGCAAGCAAGCTAGCTAGCAAGCAAGCCAAGCAAGCCAAGCAAGCCAAGCCAAGCAAGCAAGCAAAGCAAGCCAAGCAAGCAAGCCAAGCAAGCCAGCCAAGCAAGCCAGCCAAGCAAGCCAGCCAAGCAAGCCAGCCAAGCAAGCAAAGCAAGCAAAGCAAAGCAAGCAAAGCAAGCAAAGCAAGCAAAGCAAGCAAAGCAAGCAAAGCAAGCAAAGCAAGCAAAGCAAGCAAAGCAAGCAAAGCAAGCAAAGCAAGCGCAGCCAGCCAGCCAAGCAGCCAACCAACTAGCCCCTTTCAGCCGCGCAACACCACCTTCAACAGCCAATGCTAAGCTTTGAAAACTCAGCCGTGCGCCGATACCCATGAAGCATTGCAGAACAGATTGCCAAGCTTGCCTGGACCACAACAGCTCTGTTGCTGTTATATACCATATTCTGGCATCACGTATTACCGGAAGCACGAGGCCCAATAACTGTACACCTCTCAGTAGATGGCTTGAAGAACCTGTCTGGCAACAAACAAAGCACTTGGCCAATGTTCAAACTACAAACACCAAACTTATGGGTGCTTCAGGAAATAGGTGACAGCGACCTGAACATGTGCCCACGATGAAGATATATAGCTCATTTAGTTGTTCATCATTTCGCTTACCTGCATGTGGCCTACAGTTTACCAACACCAGCACACACTGGCATTGCTTGATCCTCTGCTACTGTTGCGTTTCCTAGCAAAACAAATACAGAAGATGTTCTGAAATCACCTAAGATCCTGCATCTCACTCACTGGTACACACACGCGCTCACAAAGCGGCCTTCAATAGCCCCTGGCACCAGCAGGTTCAGGGCAGCTGTTGGCTTGACCTAGCCGGCACTAAGTCACTAAGTGGCCTGTCAGCACTGGACAATGAACTCAAGCGTACTAGCCTTTGTTGTGTCAGCTACTGTTTCAATGTCTTGCTTGGAGCAAACATCAAATTCAAGTTGTATATGAATCCCTGCGCGGAGAAAGTGCGTGATCCTCTCGCCTCGCCTCTGCGAGGCGCTGGTCCAGCGATACAGGCAGCCTCTCAAGGTCCTTGCCGGGGTGACTCTCCAAGATGAGGATACAAATGGCTGGTATACCAAGACTTGATTTGCTGTCAAAGTACCTCAAGGCTGTCACGCAGCGAGGTTGAAGCAATGACAAAAAAAATGGCTCCTCAGGCGCCAACCTCAGCTGCAACCGGACCGGCCGACGAGACAACATGCTCACTTTGCTCATGCCTGAACAAGGGCTTTGGCTCAAATTGGTGGCACTGCGCACTTTCCACAGTGTCATGACCCTGGCACGCGCGTGCAGTAGCAACCAGAAAAATTCCTCCGGGACGATTCAAATAGCAGCCAATGGACTCGTCTTATCTTGCAAGGTGCTCCTGTAGACACTCACGTGCACCGTAAACATCTGATTCTGGTCATTCCTTTGCTTGCTGGTGTTGTGCTTGCAAGTGCGTGTTGCTTTGTCAGGCTCGTATTTCTCCTTGATCCCAGCATTGGTTTCTCGAGTCTTGAGAATGGCATCTTGCGACATTCCACCAAGCGACCCACCATCTGAGCCCCTCACCAGCGCTTCCATTCTGGGAAGCTCAGCTCTAGTGGCCTTCAAGATGCTGCACAATCTCAGATGTCGTCAAAAGGCTCTGAACAGTAGCATCCCGTGCAGAATGATCCGTGAGAACCAGGTGGAAAACAATGTCCACCATGGCCGTGTTGCAAAAACAGATTTCACAATCTTGCATAAAAGTAATTAAGCAGACACGCCACAGAATTGACCAATTGCCTTGCAAAAGCAATTGCTACCCAGCCTGGCCGTGTAGTTGACGTCATAGTGTGGCAGTGGCCTGTGCGTGCGGCCATCTGAGCCCGAAAGAAAATCTCTCGGCATCGGGGGAACCATGTGAAATCCGCACAATGTCTTTGAGCGGTTCCAAAGTATGCGCTCATGATTGGAATTGTGCCGATGGCCAAGAATTGCAAGGAATCTCTAAGCCATGCACAGGGCATATCCCGGGAAACAACTATACCCGCTCAGCCAGTTGCTAATTGTGCCTCATATCCGAAACCAAGTGGTGATGTGTAGTATGGCATGACTGCTTTTTAGGGTAAGTGTGCGAGTGACACTGGTTCGAGAAAAATACAAACACTGGATCAGGAAACTGATAATTTCATTTTGGCACACGCGAAGCAGGCCACATCGATATCTGGCAAACAGCTAACGCGATTGGGCTATGTGCCATCTTCTAGCTCGATTCGCGACGGCTCCGATCCTCTTTTCTAAGAAAGCGATGACGCGGGAGAGCTACAGGGACATATGTTTGAAGGCAGTAGCTGCAGTAAACAAGCTCAGTCAAGCGATTGATTGCAAACCATTGCAAGCCCAACATTCTGATCAAGTTGAGCTACAGTACACCCTGAAACTACACCCTCTTTCCCTGACTAATTGAATCTAAAGAATTATTATTATTTAGCACCAATTAGACGTAGTTTGAGCGAATTGAGTCCGAATTGCCACTGGCAAGCCTTTCAATAATCTCAACCTACTGTGTCCCGTCTGCGACATGGACACCCTATTGTTGCCCTACGGCTACAGCCACGTCAACAAGGACTTGGTTGCCTCCTTTGTGAGATGCGTGGTTTGCGTGCTCGACTGGTGCTGTTCCTTGGCTACTGTCGCAGAAAGGGAACAAACATGCTCAATTCCTCGGCCTGGTGATGACGCTGACACTCACATGTGCTTACACTGCGCCTAATACGCCAAAGCCACGGGGAGCCAGCACCCCCGAACATGAACCGCTTGCTCTTCCTCCCTAAGTAGCCAGCTTGGCTCAAACGTTTGGATTGGGTTGGAAGTACCTGATTTCAAAAACGCCCTGCATTTCCACGCACTCCTTTGGGAATTCCGTACAACACCCAACTCCAGTGATTTGTTTTGACTATTTTGCAGTGTTTCTGTATAAGCAGGTTTCAGCTTCCAAACAAAGCTGCGATGCGCGCAAGGGCAGACCTAAGACTGCCGCGGAATCTTGTCGGGGAGGACCGAATGTCATGAAAGTCGAGATTTTGGTGTGATGATGCAATTGGACTGGACCAGACCTAGCTGGTCCAACGGCTGTAGACCATGTCTGACTTGCATGAGCTTGTCGCAGATGGTGCATTCAATCCACTCCTCCTCCTCCTGTAAAAAGTTCCAAGCCACCCTCAGCTTAGCTGAGCGTAAGGCGAGGCATTGCCATGTGGCAGGCCGAAAAATGTACAGGCAATGCCCTCCCAAAATCTGGGCATGCTTTGGTGAACATCTGCGCAAAGGAGAAACAATTATGTTTGCAATGGCGCACATCTGCAGACATGTCTTTCAAAGGATCTTGTCCACCAAGCTTCCTTGTGGTTTTGAGAGGGTCGCTGGGAAAAAAAAACAGAGCCGAGTGGGAAGCCGAGCGTCCGCGGCTTCTTCCCAACTTGTTGGTGGCTTCAAGTCTCAAACTTCGGAGATTTGGACGCAGCAAAAATCCAAGGATGGACATCCCGATAGCGCGGCTAAAAAACCGGTTGCTTCCTGACGCATCGCCTCCTTAACATCCCGGAATCATGTCTGGCTGAAGTTGTTACACGTTTTACGCAGGTCATACGGAAAGTGCCTTCCTATGGCCTCCTGTGAGTCTCTTGCAGGTGACACGAGGAAACTGAACCAGACTCATGAGAAGAGACAAACAGGCCGCCGCTTCCCGGCATTGATGTTCATCCTTGCTTTGCGCTGGGTAAAACTTGTTGGAAAAACAGCAAGGTTTCTTGCCGCGCACTCGACCATCTCACGGAAGTCTTCGCCAAGAATCTGCATGATAGGCCTGCCCATGGCCCATGGCGCGGGCGTTTCTGTGGGTCTGGCCGGTTGGTAGTGCCCAATAAGGAGATACTTGCATTGCACAAGGCAACCACTTGCAAGACCTTGCATTGATGCCTCGATGCCTAGAAAAAGAAAAAAGACATGACTGCGCCTGGTCGAAGTGTGAGTATAGCGTTTGGACTGTACAAACCAGAAAACAAACACTTGGGGCTCCATTGTCCTGCTTACACGGTTGCATCAGAACCCAAAACCAGCATCGGAGGAAAGTTCGAACCGAAGCCATGCAAACGGCGACAAGAGCTCTATTTCCCCGGTTTGTGATTCTGGCCGGCGCCGAAAAACATTCAATGTTCACCTCGGTTTGTCATTTTCGTGTTTCAAGCACAAAGACACAAAAGCTGACGTGGTTGAGACAAGTCCCAAACGTGTTCGAGTCCTACGGCTCTACGGTTTGTGAGAAATCGAGGGGTTTCTTTGGCATCCCCGACAACAACGGTTGTGTTGTCCTTCGGAAAACCCGCAATACCTCGAAAATCCTCGAGGCCGCAGACTCTCCGCAAGCTCGATTTATTTCTGGATAGTATTGAGTCACAATGACAATTGTGAGACAAAACATGTGTTTTCTTGAGCCAAATGGCATTGAGTGTGTAGAATTACAAAACTGCATGAGTGGCCGTGGCCCACAAACCATTCACACCCCGTATGCCTCATTTTGAGGCATCTGCGCGAGGCGAAATTGTGGTGGGTAATTTCATCCTGGGTCCACTATAGTGCAACTCACACAATATGCCGGCTCATTTACACTTCACATTGACTTTATTTTGGCTTGCAGCTCGAGTCGCGGAACGCTCAAAATTACTGCAATTCAGCAGCACACGAATTCTGGCGGAATCTGGATGCGACCAATTGAGAAAAGGAGCACTGAGTACTAACGTGCCGGTGAACGGTAACGTTTTCCCCGCAAATGCGCCCAAGACTCGGCAAGGGTATTGCTAATAGGAATGCCCGAGCAAATGGGCATAACCATGCGATCATCCTCATGGGAAGACATAATAACATTGGCGGCCCCAGTGTCCCAGAGCAGACACATCGGCACTGCTTAACCCGGCTGTCGGTGTAGAAGAGTGGCGCATCAGCTCTTCGCCCACTCAGCCCCTAAGGACCCAGCCTGTCTACACCTTATCCTTGGGCTCTCAAGGAGATCAACTCCTCAGCAGCCTTATGTGAGAGATGAGTATATCAAGGGTCCCACCATGCCTGGTCGAAATCGAGCATTTGCTCGAATAGGTCCATTTTGCCGCTTGTCCGAATGTCTGAGAAGTGTGGGTGTGTTTCTTGGGGGGACCCCCAAAATGGTGGTTGTCCTTTTGGTGTTGCTTTAAGACCCCAAAAAGGTGGCACCCTCTGACCTTTGAATGCCGAGCGGTTCCTTCCATTCCACCGACTACGAAGCTTGCTGGCAAACCCTCCAAGTGCCTTCTGTCTTCGTGACCTTCTGTTTCATAGCATGACTGTGGTGCTAGACGCATGAGTTGACTTGCTATTCCTTCCTACCCTCAAACAAAAGCACAGCCGTGCTCAGAAACTACCTGCAGAATGCATTCGCAAAGATTGGGGATTGAAGCTCTGTCTGTACCGTCTCTTCCCCTCTTCACCCCCAAACACTATCAGATGGCAATGAAGGGGTGAAGAAACGCTCCCAGCCATTTCTCTCTTGGCTGGACAGGCTTGAGAAAGAAGGTCCAGATGAGTACGTTCCTTGCCACAAGACGGGTGCTGTGAACAGTAAGAGATAGAGATGGAAGGAATGCCCGTCCACTTCACGCTGGCGAAGCACGAGATGGAGATGGATATGAGAAAGGACAAGGACGGTGAAAGCTGTTCTCATTCATCTGTTTCTCTTTAATCACGTGTCATCTGCTGGAATGGACAGTGATGAATAAACAAGATGAATAAAGAGATGCAATTTCTTCTCCTGGCCCAGTCCATACCTTGCCTGTCAGGACAAGTACAGGAATGGAAAGAATGGGATGTGAGTTTTCTTTTCATCTTCATTCCCCATATAAATTCTAACAGGTGGGGAAAGAAGATAGCAATCTCTTGGAATCGAATACTTGTAGGGAAAAGAGGGGAAGAGACGGGCCATTCCGTTACCTCTACCACCATTCCCAGACATGTTTGAGGGAGAGGAAAAGGAATGGGTACGTGATGCCTGCCAAGAACCAATATAATGTCCGAACATAATAATTAGCTGGTACCTCTTCTCATCTCTTCATCTGGTGTGAGCTGAGCGAGAGAAAGGAGCCGCGTTCATCAGCTCAACAAGAGAGAAAGCCGTGAATGGGAAAGAGATGCCGCTGTCCTTTCTGTTTAACAGCAGTATTCTCAGGATGCTGGGGGAAACATAAGTATAAGCCAGGAAAGTGATGTGCGACAAAGGACGAGACATGCCAGAACTAACCCGCACGACCATATGAAGGCTTACTAACTTCCAACAGATGGGATTGGAAACCCACCATCAAAAACACAATCTCTCACGTGTTGTGGTTCTTGACTATTCATGTTTTTTTTTGTTTTGTATATCTTTCTATTTGTATTCCTGGAAGTATATTTTATGTGGTTCTTAATATATGGCTTAATGATCTCACTTGAGCACTACCAGCCCCTCTGCAGCATTTTATTACCTGGAGGTGCAGATTCAAGCCAACTAGACATTGACGTGGGGCAAGCACCCAAACATCTGCATTCAAGCATCCTGGAACAGCGGGATGGTGCCAGAAACCGCCCCATGTTGCGGACCAGTGCACAAACCAACCCCAAAGGACAATGCTCGCTGGCAAAGTAAAGTGTGACAGCACAACCCAAAGCAATGACTATCATACAAACACAACACTTCCTGCAGCAACCGCTGATGATGGAGAAGAGTCTACCCCCTTCGTGGGTCGACACTGTGTGATAGTTTAAATGTTGGCAATGCAGCTGAATAGGAGACTGGCGTGT